TTTCAATAACTTTTTACTCGCAGGCTGAACAGACAGCAGTGGGAGGTTTTATAGGCAGTGGCAGACCCCTCGTAGAGTGCTTTTATCGAAACTCCTGTCAAATGTTTCCTTTCATCATCATTTGAAAGGTGTACTTAAAAGAAACATTGTTGAAAAGTTTGGTGCTTTCAAACACGCTTTACTTCGTCGATTATTTTAGGCGCAACCGATTACATTTGTGTTTCAATGCGTCTGATGTGCTGTACAGTTTTTTTCTTTGCCAAAGTATTTTTTTACTTTCATAACTTTCTTCGTCCTCTCAGGAATACTTGTCACAGAAGAAGTTCATTCACCGCGATCTCGCAGCGCGTAATATTCTTGTCTGTGATGATAATCTTGTCAAGATATCTGACTTTGGCCTGACCAGAGATGTTTACGAGAGTTGTGAATACCAAAAGGCCCAGAGTGCAGGAAAACTTCCCATCAAGTGGATGGCGATTGAATCTCTCTTCGACAATATTTGTACCACGCAAAGCGATGTGTAAGCAGCTCAGTTTTTTTTCTCTTTCTTGTTAGAGTAATTTTATTGAGCGTAGAAAGCAATTCGAGACTGCTGGCTCTTACAACAAACAATAGAGAACAAAACGGAAAAAGAACGAGGAAAACAATAAAAACAACAGGTTAACGAGGCGGTGTGCTATTGTGTCTTCTCACAAGAAGGAGCCAGATTTCTTCGGTTTCGCTTTACTTCGCTCGGTGATTGGTTTAAAAAAACTCGCGTCATCCTCTCGACAAATCAGATTAAAAACTAAAAACAATCTTGATTTGGTTATTCTTAGTTTCCTCACGTCGTTTTCAGCAGTTTGCAAGCTTTTCCTTGAGTTGTCATTGGCTCCCTGTGATGTCATCTCTTTTCTGATTGGGTGGTGTATCTACTCTAGTTTTTTTATCTTCGACGTTCATCGAAAATCGCCCTAATTGACATATGACCAAGTCGTGATTTTAATCAATTCGGAACTAAAGGGCTTAGTTAGGTAATGACGGTACATTATTTTTTCAATTCGAATATGATGTGCCATGACACAGCAAACCTAGTGACTGCGTAAATTACCATTCACACGACACAGATAACGTTAGGGTCGCATTAAAACTGAATTCTTCAAGTTTAAAACAAATTCCGGGAGGCATACACTTATACAATTGCTCTTTGGATAAAGGCGTCTTTTTTGATCGAATGAACTGATCAAAACCATTTCTTTGATCAGTTTTACCTCTTATCACTGGAAATATTGTGTAAGTTTTCACCAGCTATGCCGTTCCCATGCTCTTAATGAACAGTTTAATATGGATGTATATTATCATATGCAACGCGTGGGTCTGTACTTACATCTCGAATTGCATCGGGAGTGAACAGCCGCTTCCTCCATCTCACCGAAATAATCGATGCAATCCAGCAGATGGCCGAAACACGAAAGTTTTTATCGTAACTTAAACAAGGGGGAGGGGGAATGTGAATTAAAAAAGGAATAAATGTCTAGGGCATCGTGACCATTTGCAAAAATGGAAAATGGCTAAGGAACTAACTTTATCACTTTTTTATTTGTATTTTAGGTGGTCGTACGGCATTGTGCTCTGGGAAATCATTACTCTGGGTAAGCACATTCCTTTTATCCATGCTTTGAAGCAACAGTTTTCTAAATGATGTATTCTGAAGGAAGAGTTTGATCTTACATAGGCCTCAACAATCATCTTTCTATTTCACATCGCAAGAGTTGCCATGATAACACGTCACAAGTACATGTTTCTGCCTCATCGTTGTGGTCCAGAACTTATCAGCCCTTTTTACATTTCTGTGGCATTTTTCATGGCGACAGCTACAACCAGGATCGCAAAAGATCATGTCAGGGATTCATGAGACCTTTTTTCCAAACTAGCACTTTATTCAGCGCCATTTTGCCATAGAAAAACAGTTTGTAGGTTTTGACCAACCTACAAAACTTACAAAAAATAAATTATAAAGGATTATCTGACTTTCTAATATTCACCATTAATGGTACATTTTAAGTGCGGATCTGACTGATGAGCATTTCATTCCATCAGGTGGTTCTCCCTATCCTGGTATATCAGGTCGAGATATTCATAAGCTAATCAAGAATGGATACAGAATGGAGAGACCGGAGACGTGCAGTCAGCAGATGTGAGTTGGATGAGAAACAAAAAGCATCCTTCTGAACTTTTATCCCTATTACTAGGAATCTACCATTTACATAAGATCAGCAATTTTCAAACAGCCCAGCCCTGTATATCATTTTAGGTGCGCTGAAGGTCTGTCGTCAGGCCTCATAAGCGATCGTTACCTGGCAACCAACCGGTTGACCGAGTTTCTTTGTAACAATTTATTACAAAAACATTGAGTTTAACATTTTTGCGTACGTAATTTCCGTGCTGAACGTGACAAGTTCAGTTGTAATTTTGAAAGTGTTTCAACTTTATGAGTTGGCCGACTTTTGTTCTTACTTTCGATGATTTTTTTTCTGTCATTTCTTCAGCTACCAAATCATGTTATCCTGTTGGAGAGCTAATCCTGAAGAAAGACCAAGCTTCACAGATCTGAGAAACGAGCTCGAGAAACTGCTAGAAGAACAGGGGGACGAACAATATATAAGTGTCAACTGCGCTGATTTTGATGATTACTGTGCTCTGGTTGGAAACCAGAGCAGCTCAAGTGAAAACGAAGAACTTGCCTTGCTCACGAGTGATCAAAGTACAGCGATATAGACATACGCGCACAAATGCCCAGGGTTTATAAAATGAAGCAGTCTCAGCAAAACACTACTATCGATATAAGTGAGACAAAGCATGTACTTGGAAATAGTTTTTAAAAATCAGTTAGTCAGCCTTTGCTTCCTCTACGAACCTAGTGGTGCATTAAAGGTCTTTTCCTAAGGTTGGGATAATCTGGGGTTTAGTGATTAAATCTGCGGTAAATGTCACCAGAAATTCCAATCAGAATTAGAGCGGAGGAGCCAATAAGATCTCAAAATAATTCGAAGAGAAACTCGCTTCAAACGCGAGAAATGACAGTGATCAAGTTGCCAATGATTTACTCTTGTATCTGATTGGGTGAAAGGGTGGCGTGAGTTTGTTCGACCAATCACAGAGTGAAAGAACGAAAACCGGTGCACCCTCTGTCACCCCTTGTTCAATTAATACAGAAAAAGTGGCGCCTCTTAGAGTAGCCTTTGTTATATCATGTAAATCATTTTATGATAACTTAAAGTTGAATTGAAATCGATATTTTCGAATAATAATTTCCTTCTCTCTTTCATCTACTATGCACCCTGTGAACGTACAACTTAGCGGAAAAGATTTAACTGTCCGGCCCGCTAAAATTATATGGTTGTCACTGATGCAGAAGTCTTCTTAAATTTGGCGGGCTATAAAAAGTTTGAGCCATCGTTTTTCTGTAAATCGTGTTTAATTTTTGCAGATGACTGAGCAATGATTACGAGTTTTCAATCATTTGAAACTTTTTGACTCTTAGGTTTAAATAGGGTGATGGATTTTACAGGTAACGGTTAAGATTTTTGCCATTGTACGAGTTACAATTAATTCTTTCGGTCACGGTCAAAAGAAAAACCTTTTACGGTTAACTTTTCACTTTGACGATTGGTTAAAATTTGCAAATTTCACGCCTAACTGTTTTTTTTTCCTCTTTTGCCTTTCTATGGTAAACGGTTAACCTCATTAAAACCCTCATAATATACAGCAGTGATAAAATTAATGTAAATAGATACAATGTAAATATTATTCCACAATAAAGATGTAATAAATATGTTCCTGACCTCGTTTTCTTAGCTTGTAAAATAGGTCGAAGTTATATACACCATAAATCGAAGGATGAAAATTCAGTTCGGTCCGTAACTTGTGGCACGACCTCCGACTCAGCTGGCCCGAAGTTTTTGTGGATGTATTAACCCGACTGTAATTAATCATAGTGTAACAGCTATAAACGCGTAGCTTCAAAAGATAACAGCATAAAATTCTGGCGGATTCGTCGCAGACTGTATGTTGAAAATTATGTTTTTGTTTTCTGTAAGTAAACAAACTAGCAAATAAATATATAATTATGAAAAGGTGGGGAATTCTTACCCAAAGCCAAGATTCAATGAAGTAACACGTTTAATTTCTATTTTTAGTAAGGGATTCCCAGGTTTTCCTCACTTTGCTGCGATGATTGGGCGTAAAATGATCCAACTGCCTTGATCTACGATGGGCTCATGGTATTAATACTCGCCTAAGAAAGCAAAGGGAACGATTGGCTCATAAAAAAAACTACAATTCATCTTCTCCGTGTCAAGTCTACGTTTTCATTCAGCTATTTTGTTTCAAGCTATCATTCACTGTTGTTTTTCACGCGTGCTACGCAAATTTGGTTTCACTGCCTAATATTTCACATATTAAACAGACATCGTCTTGTCAAAGAAACGGTTGATTTTAATGATATGGAGGTTTTAAAAGATAAATATTCTATTGAATTTCTCAGTAGAGTCAAACAGTGGGCCTTTACGCAGGCAGTCTCACCCTATTGACGAGGTCCTTCCCGCAAGTCAAAAAAAAAAAAAGAAAACTTGAAAAAAATGAATCAGCACGCGCGCGGAATTCTGGGAGTGAGGCGCACGAAAAGTGGGCTCTACGTAGGGCAATACCTTTTTATCTTGTGCTTAACTGAGCGCGTCATTTGATTGACTTCAACTCAGTTTTTCCATTTGACTATAGAGTGACAAAGAAGTTCTCAGTATACATGAAAGAAACCAAAGGAAATGTTTAGGGACAGGCTGCAGTTGACAAACTTCATTTAGGCCCAGGGGAATGTTTAAAAATTTGAGCCAACACTATTAAAATTGTTTTAGAGAGAAAACATTGACGGCAAATGTCAGTCCTTGGCGATAAGGCTGGCTGTTACATGCGTCTCATATGTATTTAAATTATAAAATCAGTACGCCAGATATGTCATCGATTTGAAGTGCACGTCTTTTAATTTTGTTGGTCATTAGTTAGGGTGATACTGTGTTCCCGAGATTACTTTGACGTGAAAAGCGTGCAGCGCGAAACAGTTTGGACATATTCAACTCATTCAATAACTTCGATCTCTATGCATTTCACGAGAAACTTTTTTTGCAACACAACTGAATGAGTAGCGAGAGTAAAACAGGCAGAGCCTTTCACATTGTCTTTATTTATCCTACACTCATTGTGCTTTATTTTAATTAGATAAGATTGATTATTGTGTCTCTTTCGCGACGGCACCGCGCACGAAATTGTTCCACAGCTGACGATAAACTTCCGTACTTCTTTTTCACAAAAGCGTAAGTAAGTCTAACAAAACTTGCGCAAACAATCGCCACAAGGATTCCTGTTATGAACATCCACGGCAACGCTTTGCTCTCTAAAACGGGAACATGTTGATCTTCATGGCTTGAAACTTTTGTTGTTGTTTCTGTAGATTATGAACCCAAAACACAACACTCAATATTTTCCATCTTGGAAGTTTTTATGCTTATTAACCTATTTGGTCTTTCCACTGAAATAGAACCTCCACTAAGATTTTTATCAAAATTTACCTATCGGTTGTTTATCCTCAAGGAACGTAAATCTTACGCAGTTACCCTATTTTCAGCTTAGTATAGGTAATCACATGAGGCCAAGTACTATTAAGGATTAATTGCACGAGAGTTTTCAAAATTTTCCAAAATTGCCCGAGTCGCGAAGCGACGAGGGCAAAATTTTGAAAACTCAAGTGCAATTAATCCTTAACAGTACGAGGTCTCATGGGATTACTTGTTTATCAATAAAGGGCAAAATTTATACGAAGGAAAATCACGTGCGCAGTCTATTTTTATCTGGGAAGCAACGGATTAGCAATGCAACGGATTAGCCAATCATTAACAGGTAATCATGCCCTCTCTTGATTACTAAAAATGCCCTCGATTAAGAAAAAATGCCCTCTCTCTCAACCAATCAGCGCTCAGTAATTTTGCCCTTTATTGATAAAGAAATTAAACAAATTAAACTAATTAAACCAAGCAACATAACGTAAAAAAAAAGAGAAAAAACAGGATAGAAGGCAAATCGGCTTGAGATTTTTTAAATTATTAACCATTCCTTTTCATTTGAATATCCATTTCTTTTCAAATAAGTTTTTCTTGTTTATTTTTCTTTCAATTTCATATTTGACAGCTATCTTGTTCTGATAACCTTGTATTTTAGGGTGTATTTGTTTTCTTCTGCAGTCCCACAAAAACAGTTTTCCGATAATAATAAAGTAATTGAGTAGTGTATGTGAACGTAAATCTTGAAATGAAAAAGGGGGTTGCCTTGCTCGTTTAGGAGCAGCACTCTTATTTCATATTTACCTGTCGTGTTAAATAAAATTACGGCCTCTGTTCCCACTCCCGTCACTGATGACACTGCAGCAACCTGCAATCAAAAAAAGATTCCTGTGACGTTGAAAGAGACAGCAGTTAAGTAAGTTTTCTACCCAAGAATTCAATGCAAGAAATGAACCAATGTGCCGAGAGGAAAAGCATGGGGTATCTGAAAAGAAGTTTTAACAGAACAGTCAATTTACGATTTTAGCGTGCGGTACACACAACTAGTTACCTTGAACATGTAGGCGAATCCGTTATGAAGGCCAAACACCCGAAAACTTGTATTTTCCTACAAAAGTTGAATTCAAATTAACATTAAGTTTAATTCTTTGATGGGTTTTCCTCGACTTGATGTGGTTCCTCGACATCGGTATGCATAATCAGCCCCTTTAGAAGTCGCTATTTGGTCTGAAAGGGTACATTTTAAAAGCAGCATTAAAATGAATCTTCCACTCATAATTTACATGTAAGCTAAATATTTTGATCTGCTCTTCACCTTTGTAGCTCCTTGTCGCCTTGCCTGATTCCGTCGCAATCTTGAAAAGCACAATGTTACCTTCGATCATATATCCAATTTGTAAATAACTTCGGAGAATTGATGTGGCCCTAGATATTCGACTTACCGCTGGTAACCACGTGGAATCAAAATGTGGTTCTGTAAAAACTCCGTTCAAAACAGGAATCTTATTCCATTCTAATCTGTATTCCTGTACATGGTCTACAATCGGTATATTATGTGGCGGCCACCACGTGACTGTAGCCGTGGACGTATTGAGTGACAGGTGGGTGAGATGGACCAGTGTCAGGTTTTCTGGCGGTCCAAGCACTGGGGAATATTATGAAAGGATGAAACAAAGATATTAGTGACCGCTTTTGAAGACAATGGGCAAAGAAAAGATCTGCGTCGATCAATCAACGTTAAGTGAGCGCATCATCATGAGGATATTTACCCAGGGAAGGCGTGACAATACATATAGTACTTTTATTTTGTTTTTCATCAGAGGCTACGGAGATAACCTAAAAGAGATAAGAAAGGAATATTTCTAAAAAATTTCAATCTAAAAGAAAACAGTCTGAGGAAAATTTAAAGGTTTGCTTTAGGCAGGTTCATGTAAAATTTGCGGGAACAAATTTTCATGTGCATGTCCGCGCGGGAAATGTTAATTGTGTTAGTGTGCTGATGGAGCTTATTTCATGATATAAAATTCTTCAAAAGAAGTGCTGGAAATGGCAATAATCTTGCATATGATACAGAGAGACGTTTTGACCAACCATATGATTTATGTCTTTTTCTTTTGTCGCATATCTTATATTTGTAATGCTGTCTTATTCATGATCAGGATTGTGACAAATGAGTAACTTACCTCTATAGTGTAATTTTCCATCGGCAGCAAACCTTCTACAATATAGTACATCCGTGTGCTTGCGACGTGCTGATGGCATTGAAAATAAAGGAAAATTGAAAACCCGAGGAAAAACTTTACCGGATTCTTGGCACCCAAGCCATCTTACTGGCAGATTTTCTTTGGGTGCACGACAAAGATCAAGGAGGCTGTGAGCTGGTTTAGGAAACAACTAACGCACAAAGTAATGTTAGACTTCGAAGACAAGCTCTAAAACGATTTAATTGAAAATCAGCGACATGAACAATTTTAAAAATTTTTATAATTTTAACATGATGGACTAACTAGGACTATCGGACCAACGGACCACCGGATCAACAGACTAACGGACCGACGGACTAATGGACTCACGGACTCACGGACTCACAGACTGACGAAATGGTTAAATGATGGACTAACGGACTGACGGACTGACAGATTAAAGGAACGACGGACTGACGGACTAACGGACTTGCTAACAAACGGACTAACGGAGTAATGGATTAACAACTAATGACTAATGAAGGAGTGAAGAAGATGCGTTTGGAAGCGCTAAACTAAAGACCTGTCATTTTCATAAACTTCCTAGAATATATATAACAAGGTTTACCTTGCTATGACTGACTTCAAATGCTTCACTTTTCCAATGATCCGAGTAAGTTGCTCTCCACTCGATTCTGTAGTCACAGATTTTGCCTATGAAATTATAAATGTTTAATGATAACTCGTTTACGCTAATCAATTGCAAGGACACTTATATAATGGGACAATTAAACTAACCTTTCCGCCGTGGAAGGAAAGCAAACGTAAAAAATAGCATTCTTTATCAATTTTGAAATAGCTAGACGAAACAAGACCAGTGTATTCACAACTCCTTATTCGTGACCGTTAGTAATTTCCCTGTTTTCGAAAGGAATGAGGAAATCTGATGTACCTATGACTTTGCACTACCTCTAACTCAGTATTACTCACTACGCGGTGCCAAATACCAGGTAAGATGTCCTTCAAATCTGTCACCAGCTTTCCTCACATGGGCCTGGAGGCCCTTGGGAGGATCCAAATGAACTTCATCTATTAATGTAGAAAACGGTCGATGAGCGAAAAAGGTTTCACAAGATAAGCTTGGTGTCGCAGTTTCTACGAGTTTGAGTAAGAGACCGGGACTGTTTTTTGGGACTGAGACAGGTTTAAGGCGATACCTGCTAGCTTTTTTAACCAAAAACAAGATTGAATGAGGGAGGTTGAAGATGAATTTGATGCGCTTGTGCCAGATCCCATCATGAGTGTCTGAATGTTTTGTTGATAATCTGAAAGGCTCAAAAGTCTCCCAACACCACCTTAGGAAGGCACGTTTCGGTCCATTAGTCAGGAACTAAAATATTTGAGAGACCTTAAGCGATTATGTAACGCTTTGGAAATGATTGAGATTTGCTGTGCGCTTTGGTTGTAATTTCCTTGTTTCCTTTTTTCCTCCGTTAAAGTCTCTTCCAAGAAATGGTACATAATGAAAAAAAGATCACGAGCATCCCTTTTTTAATTGTGTTCAGGATGATCTATACATACATAAGTATAGCATTATCCATTGTTAAGGAATCTTGGAAAAATATTTCTGTTTCCTCTCCAAAATAACTCACCGCTTAACGTTACCATCCATTCTCCAACATGGCGGAACTCTTTAAAGGGCAGTTTAACCTGTAGCCCCTTGGCTGTCACTATGGCAATAGAGATCTGTATAGTAAATCCTTTAAACAGGTTTGGGAAATAGAATGGCAACTCTGAGGACTAAAATGGTGCATAGATAAATATGAATTAGATTACAACGAATGACAGGAGAAAGTCTGGAAAAACTGTAAGACTGTACAAGAGAATTCGGTCTCAGTTTGAATCCTGTAAGCAAATTCAAAAAGTTTCGGTTACGCATTACAGAAGATTCTAAATTTGTATTTTTCATGTTTGTCTCCAAAAGAGCTCAGGTCACTCAAGCGAGAAAGGTCCTAAAAATATCTCATCAATTATTGAAAACCAAAGCAAATATGAAACGAAACTCGAAAAAGATAGAATGGAGATGGATTCACGAAAGTAGAGAACATGGAAGGCAGATGGAAAACGTTGGCTTGAAAACGTAATTTTCACGAGGACGGTTTTTTACTCAGTTTCAGCGTGAAGGTGGTGTTTTTTTTTTAACTCGAAATAGAGCCGTCCCTTTAATCACTGCATATATATTCACATCGTATTAATTTTCATAAATAAAATTCAACAATGAATATTACATGATCTATTCACTTACTACAGATGAAAGCATCGTCCATGAGTCTTTTTCGTCAAGCCTGTAAAAGCTGATGAAGGTGGTGGGCTCAACTTTAGCGGTATTATCCGAGAAGAGATGAAAATCAAAGTTCACCACCAACTCTGTATATGTGCGACAGAAAAGGTAGGGTCCTTTGGCAGTGACGTTTCTTGTGTCGTACCAGATTCCGCTCGGTCCATTACCTAAATTGAAAACAAACCCAGTCAGCCCAGTACCTTCGCGTTCCCGTCGAAGTCTGGATTTCAAGACGGACTTCTTTTTCTGCAGTTTCTTCTATTGAACTTGAAAGGAGATGATTCTCTACGTATTTGCCGAGTCGCTCGAAGGAGGTCTGAGATGAACGTTCAGGTCGGTCAGGATCAAACACAAAACGCAGTCAAGGCCCTAAAGAGCATCCTTGAGTCTGAGTATTTCTCAAGGAGGCTACAGGAACGAGTAGAAAAACATGTGAAAACACTCTTTGAAAGAAATGAAATTTCTTACTTGCTTTTCAGATGCTTTTCACATACCTCTTACATGGCAAATGTTACGTGTTTGTGAAATTTTCTATTGAAATAAGTCTAAACGCAGTCTTCCATTGCGAGTACCCGAGTACACGCAGGTATGTATTGGGTTCGTTAAACAGCCTCGTACCAAATCACCATTATGTATATTAAGAAAGATTCATTTCTGTTCTACCTGAGTTTACAAAGCGGTGAAGGAAATAACATCCCTGTTTGCATGCGTCTCCGAGGCCATTCTGAAAAAGATTTTTCACGACAAAATATGATTAGATTTGACACGAGAATATCAGGATGGGTCACTTAGAAATTGCCGGCCAGATGTAACTCGCTGTTTTAAAATAGGAACTTAAAGATAAAACCTTACTTCTTACCTTGTCACACTCAGCTTTACATTCATTGTATGTTCTGTGTTTCGTACTTTCGAACCTAAGGGGTTGCAGGCACTGAAGAGTGAACAAGACAGGGTGGAAACGATGTTGGAGTAAATTACGAATGATGAAATGGTTTGCAATATCTTAATAACAGGCATAATAAAGGAAGCTATACTTCTCATCTCAGTTATCAAAAAAATTACAAGAACTTTAGATGCTGAATGCGTTCTGAGAATCCAAAAAGTAACTACTGAAAATTTTCTTCAAGTACGCTTAAAATTTTGACTAGCGACGTCACCATTTTTAGATCCCTAGGTAACCCGGCCGAACACGCAAAACCATAAAGGGTGGTTTAAAAACTAGCAAGTGCAACTGGTTAATGCAAACTTTGCGGCAACCAGTAGCACCTAAAAAAAAAAATACAAATAAACGAGAAAAACTAAACAAAAGCACACACACACAAAATTAAACACAAAGTAAAAAAATTGCCTGAAAATTGCTTTTTTGTGTGTAGTTTCTTATCACTCAAACGGATCGTAACTGGCTAGTAGACGGGTTTCAGATTTACAATGGCGACGTCCGCGAGTGAATTGTAGCTCATTTGAAGACGGTTTTCGAAAGGTTTAGTTATTCTTTGGAATTTTAGAACGAGTCGATATATTTTTTAGTTTCCCAAGGATGTCTCTTCCCTAGGAGTTAAGATACTGAAATACCACGTCAAAAAATCTAGTGAATGCAAAGTATGCGCATCATCCCCAACTGAAGGGCTCAGGACCTTCCCTAAAGCCGGTGTTCAGATTGCTATTTTACTTTGTTCGTCCCAATCATGTCAGGATCATTACCTTCGCGTTCTCTGCTGAGTCTGTCGCCCGCATCATTCAAGATTTGGCACAGATAATCAAGAATAAAGAAACCCAAGAAACCCAAGGGTACTGTGGTCCGAAACTACCGCGAAGTCGAGACGATCAGAGGGTTCCACTAACGAAGTGGAATCTCGATCATTCCAGAGTGACTTCCATGTTATTATTTGCAAGTATTGCTATAGCTTCTGACCTTCCAATAGTTTCAGGAGATTGATAACGAATGCCTTAATCTACCATGTAATTATCTGAATTTTTTGCCGTAGATTTCACCTGATATTTCTCATTTGCCGCTTTCAAAACAATAAACACCCAATTGGGTCATTACGTTCTTCACAATGTTCGCGGATGAGATTCGCTGATCTCTAACTTACAAGTTTATTTTCCAATTTAAAGATCAGTTAATTTGAGGACATACCTCTTCACAGTCTTCGTCGCAGTTATAAGAGTAGAAGATTTCAGGGTTTTCTGTCTCCTGTGTTTAAAGGAGACATCAGTAAAACATGTGTAAGTGTTGATTTATCGAAAGAGTTACAATTGTTATTGACCAAGAGAGTATACTGAAACTGATGTGTTCTCGTGTATTTGACACGCAGGTGAAAATCCAGCAAAGGAATAATTCTCGCTGGTGGATGAGTAATTGCAGAAAAAAAAAGCGCGTAAAAAATTCAAGTTTTTACGGGATTCAAACTCAGTGATCATCGAGAAGCGTCACACTCCTCAATGATGACTCATTTTGGACGAAGGTTAAATATTTTCTCGTGACTTAGTATTGCAACAAGGCTAAAAAAAACATTCCTTTCCAAAAAACCTTTTCCGAACTTTTGTTCCATGCGAAAAAGAAGTTATGTTACTGTTTGTCTAATATATAGATTTAGCCTAGCCTAAAAGCAGAGCTCGCATTTTTTTCCCGCACGTCTCAAGGGCACAACGCCTTACCCCGGCCAGGACTAGAACCCGGGTCGTCCGACTCGGAGCCCAGTACACTGACCACTGGACTACTGAACAAAGCCGTGGCGTTGGCGTACTCGCGGTACAGTTGACCACGCATGTTAAAAGTAGCGCCTTGTACGGTCGTACGGTCTTACGGGCGTACATCCAAATTTTTTCGGCTTGATGGGTCACTACTATTTTGTAACTGGGGTATTGATTGTAACATTCATACATCTATTTATGTAGAAAGTCTTAAAATTCAAGGTGGTACTCACATTGATTCTTACTGGTTCACCGTACTTCACACCAAATCACGTGCACATGAAAAGACAATTTAAATTATGAGTGGTTAGTTTTCACGTAGAGTTTAAATAGTATATGTAACTGGTTTATACTTAGGTTCAATGAAGTAAAGCAATGTGGGGCAAACCAGACATGAGAATTTAAAGATAACTTCAAAGGTACACAACACAAGTACATTGTGTTTCAGGTAACTTCTCCGTAGAAATTCTAACCTTTTCCATCACTTCAGTCCCACTTTCAATCCACTACACAGGCTAGTGGTTTAGTCCGATCACAAAAAAATAAAACTATATGAAAATTTGGAACTGAAAAAGAACGTTCATTCTTTTTCAATTTTATTTTTCCAATACCACAGGAAACGTGAGAACGTTCTATGGAGACTTTGTCTGCCTAAGTTACTCAAAAGGTTATTATGTTAAAATTAAAGGAAATAGCCGTCGTGTGGCGAGACAATTTCACAGATCGAAAGCCTTCCTGCATATTTTTAAAAAACCTAGACAAATATCAAAAATCGTCAGCTACTCGAAATCTTTCTGTAACTAAATTCCTTCACTCAGACCATTCACGATGAAAGTTCTGCGCTCCCAGATGGGCGGAAATTGATATCATAAAACCAGTTGAATCGCACAGCTCGCGCAGTGAAACACTACCTTTAACAGTATAGGTAGTTAAATTCTACGAAGAGTTTTTCACTCCAAACGGTTATAAAGTACTTGCTACACTACAGTAACTTTTCCACTGTTAAGATCGATAACGTAAACAATGTGACAAATGGAAAACAAAACAACTTGAACAAATAAAATTTTCTAATGTCAAACTGAGAAGATTCCATCTCCTAAAGGTTAATGAAGTTTGAATTTCGTAATTTTAAATTTTCTCTGAAAAGTCGTGGATTCGCTTACCATACGTGCTACTTCAATCAGATCAAAGTACTGGTAATTCAATTTACGAGTTTATCTGCCCCAAAACAGTTAAATGATCTCAAAAAAAAAAAAAAAAAAAAAAAAAAAAGAAAGAAATCGCTCTCGATCTTGTCATTCCTGAGGAAAGAGAAAATAGTTCACATAATTCCTTCTTGTAAACAATTGTTATTATTCTCCTTTTCCAGATAATTTTCACTCATTTGTCGCCGTTTTATCGAGAGTTTCCCTTGCATTTCATCGTTATTGAACCATATCAACGCCCGCGTGGAATTTGAACAAGACCAAATTAAAGTACGTGACTCCAGCACAAATCACTTTCAATAACAAAATGTATTTGACTTGTCACTTCACAGCAGGAATTTTTTTCCTCTCCCAACTGAAGGCTCTCTGTTGACGCAAATCGCACGGAATTGAACCTAAAAAATTGGAGTCTGTGACCCTTATTTGAATGCATTTACCCTAGGCAACGTATCAAACTTCGAATCTCACCAAAATTTTCAGAAAATATTTAGTAAATGATATAAAAGAGGCGCGCATTGAAAACATCCAATTAAAAAAAAACATAATTAAATTAAAATTCGCAACGTAGCTCTTAATTCTTCAAGATTCCTGAGAATTTACATCGATTTAGGAAAGCAATACATGTGAGTAAGTAAATTAGCTTATAATGTTCTCCAGCCCTACATTTCATGACTTTAACTGCATATTCATCCAAAAAGAGACGAATTGTATACAATTGTCTCATATTTTAATGAGTTCGCCAGTGCTCCAAACCGGCTTTGTAAGAGTAAAAACAACAATAACCACAATTGAACATTTGAAGTGGTAGACAAGTGGAATTGAATATGCAATTTTCTACAAAAAAGATTGCGTTAGTTCCCAACTGTTTATATGACAGTCTTCTTTCTGCATTCGCTTACCATTTCCTCGCATTTCATGGTGAATTGTCCTTCCTTCACAAGGTTATAAAACTTTAAGTCTTCCTCTGATTTACTTGCACGCACTACGCCTTCCGACAGCACGCTTATACAAATGGAAACAAGAAACAGCATCGACATACTTAAAACAGCGCAGGTTTCAAAGTCAGGCAATATTTTCAAAATCTTTTTTTTGGAACTTGCAATCAAAAACTTTCCGTACGCGCTTCAGTCAACATTCCGCTTTTCACAAAATGAACACGCAGCTTGCTGCGGAAGCTCATTTACGTGATTACGAATCGATAGATTTTAGTTACTAGTTCCTTTTCATACCGCCTGCGGTTCATTTCAAAAATAGATTTGCCTAAACAAGTAGTTAATATTTTTAATCTGATGGTATTTATTCTCGGTAACACCAGACCTTTGCGGTCGCACCTCTGTCTCGTAATTCTCATCAGTATCTGATCAATGACTTTGAGTCCACGACTTAAGTTTTTCCTTCATGATCAGTGGTAAATGATGAAATAATTTCAATAAAAAATCCGATTGAAGATGCTAAGGTTGACCGATGCGGTAAACACCAGGATTATTTAGAGACAGTTCAATATTTATCACATTGAAAAGAGGGGGGGGGGAGGGGGTGAGAGAATTTTGGTAATGTCTCGATAAAATTTATCGATCCCCCCATAAGGCTCTGTAATATTCTTATGACTCCCCCCCCCCTAGACAGCAGTTAGTTGGCAGTCAATTTTCACTTCAAACCCTGTTGGCGACGACTGATCCTCTCTCCATTCCCCCACAAAACCATGCAACCCCCCCCCCCCCCCTCAACATCCTTCACCTCTTCCCTGGGGAAAAAGTTTTGACTAGTCCTTTGCAACCCAATTTTACTGGTGATATTGTGCTTGGCCGATACTTTGGCGAAGAGGCCTAGTCAACGAAGTTGTGAAAGGCTTCACTTTCAATTGCTAGACCGTGAGGCTGATACAAAATGTTATCATCTATCTGCACCAACGACCCGTTAATCGAGTACAAATATCCTGCGATATTGTACGGTTATTTCGACAGTTGGTTATTTTGTACTGTAAAAAAAAGCACTTGAGCGAGCTGCTTCGAAGGAATGCTTATAAAAGAAAGCAGTTGGATGATAATTAACGCATTAAACGTTGTAATGTGCAGTACCGCCAAGCATGCTCGTCAACAACGAGTACAACACAACTTGTACAAAAAACTTAGTGACTCTACACATTAAAACGTTTCAAAGATATATCGAATGGCGTCTCTCCAATGACGACTGCAAGGGGAACTAAAATGATAAATGAAATCTGCGCACCGCAAAATTCTGCGAGACATTATTCGTTGACTGCCCTAAATAGCCTCCCGCCGAGAGGTACGTAAACGTTATATCAAAAGGCGTCTCTCCGATGATGACTACTGGGAGAACTAAATGATAAACGAAATCTACGTACTACGAAATTCCTGCCTAGAACAGCTGAAAGGTACATACTATGTTAGGTTTTTCTACCAAAGTGAGGACTGGGGTCTACCATGCCCCAAAGGACCCTAAGGACGCTAAACACTCCAGAGGGGACTGTTTAACCTATTTAAATGATTGGCACCTTTCAACAAGTGGGCAGCACGATGATGGATTCTGGATCCTAGACAACTGGCAGACAGACGTAATTATTCTTCATCATCGGCTGAAGACAAAGGTCAATTTGTTGTTATTTCAGCCTCACTTAAAAAAATAAATTGTAAACAAACTGGATGTGGAATATCAAAGGGACAAGAACAGATGTGCTGTAACTTGTAAAAAGTTCTTATTTGCGAAATACAGGTCGTATTGCATGTCACAAGAGGGAAAGAAATATTCAAGTGTGGTCTCCTTTACACAGGGTAGTCAACGAGTCACGTCATTTCTCAGTTTTTCGTGTTTTTTCCCCTTCACTCTTAACTCCATTTATATCACTATTTGCTTAGCCAATGCTACGTCTAACTATTTAGGTTTATGCCTCTTGAAAACTCACGTAGAAACGTTGGCAGTCCTCGTTCTCAATTCAACTAAATTTTCTCCGCTTCAGAACTATTTTTGATTTCTTTTTGGTGTTTAGTGAATTTAGTGCTTTTTTATTTATTTAAGCGCTTTCTCCTCTGAAACATTCAACTCGTTAGAATAATAATCAAGTGCCGTCTCTTTTCAGTATCAAAACAGATAGTCATAGTTTTCTCAATTAACGTTCACTATGAAGCAAGGATAGAGCATATTTTATATTGAAGGACGGCCGAGCCTATTTTCAACTGGCGGGGCTTGAGAATGAGCGTAGGGGCGCCCCTCCCCCTGAAAATTCTATTCTTGATACGTAAAATTGTGGACATGCGCCTTCATACTAAAACAAACGGAAATGTCGTCCTGGAAAAGCCATCCCTTAGGTTTTCGGGAGTTGACGAGGCAAAAGCGACTAAAAATATCTTTACGAGGCTCGTTGGGAAGATTTCCCCACCCTCTCTAGTCATTAAAAATTAGCGGAAATCTAAACATTTGTTTTTATCTTACAACCGTCCGAGACCTATTTGGCCGCAAACCCTCCGTTCTTTGACCTTTCCTTCTCTTGGAAGCAGAGATTCTCTCGAGTGGAATTAATTCAAGCTTTCTATCAAAGTCGTGATCATGGTGATCTGTTGGTCTGCTAGAAGTAAACAATGGCGCGCCATCAAAATTGTCATACTCTGTTTTTGATCTAACAACAATTGACGACTCGGTTAGCATGGGTGCAGGAGTTGGACGTAAGGACTGCGTTGCTCGAATTTCTTCAGCAGTCTTCCTCTCCTCGGAGGAAAGAGGTCCGTACATGGTCCCAATGTCAGGAATACCTTTCTCGGTGAGCCATCGCTGATACGCTAACTGACTCTCGTGTTTACCCTCTGCAAGGCGGATAAGGCTCAGTCTTTGCAATTCTTCCTCGATCTGTTTGGCTTTTTGTTCCCTTTCAAGTTTTTCTTTCAAATACTGTTGTTTGTCCAAATACCACTGTTGATTGGCTAAAATGCGTGCACATTCCCTCTGGCCCCATACACGCGCTAAAGACATAGGAGTATGACCGTTTCCGTCGACAGCGTTGATCGTCGCACCAGATTTGATCAACTCCTGCAGGCATTTAACATGGCCTTCACTTGCTGCCTGATGCACTGGAGTGATTCCAGCCTTGGTTGGCCTAAAATAGGAAAAACACATATTATCATTCACTACATCCATACTAACTGCCAGTTAAGCGGACACCTGCAAATGAAGTTAATCTCATTTCCACAAATTTACTGCTACGTGTCTTCTTTAAGGTACCAAATACGAGATGCCATTTAAATTTGGCAAAAACAAAAAAATTATCATACGAGCCGCGGGTGAATGTACTTCTGATATTCTACCCACATTTCGGCGTTTTCTGTGGTCTGTAACTGAACATAAATACCCACGGCAAATGGGAACTGCTTCTTTCGTAGAATGAACAGTAAAGCAAAATGAAGGAAAGGAATTCTAAACGCTTGCCTCGTAGGTCTCATCTGTTTGGGTATAATTCGAGTCATGAAGAACCTAGTTATCGTTCGTCAACAGTTCGTGTTCTTAACTTGGCAAGAACTATGAAAAAAATAAATTTTGGAGCGGCACTTTCACTTTATGAATCTGGGAAATCTCGCAAACTGTTCCAAAACAAATCGCTGGAAAAGACATATTCTCTTAGCAAATACTAATCAACTGCAAATATTGTAATTACTGCACTTTCAGCATCCAGTTCATTACATAATCAAGCCATATTTACCGCCGTAATAAACGACCAGTGACGTTGGGAGAACACGGGAAAAGTCGCAAATCACGAGCCGCAAAGATTTCTACATTAATTTTTCAAGTGTTTTTCCGACATCTCAAGAGGTTATTACCTCGGTAAACCAGTAGAAAGTGCAGACTAAATTGCCTTTTTATCAGTACAAAATAGCTATGGCTTTATCAGCACAAAAAACGATTTTTTATCAGTGAGCGGGGAAATACTATCACAGTGATTTTAAGAAACAGGTATCTATGATCAAAAAAAGTTGAAGCAACATTAAGCCCTTCAATACTTCTGATAATGAACACTAACAGAATATTTAAACAAGCACTCAAATAAATACATCTTATGTGTTAATCCTGAGAACTTTTGTTCAACTAAGTCTTGATTTCAAAGGAAAAGTATGGTTATCATTTTTCCTCGAAATCAAAATTAAATTCTGATCATTAATTAAAAGAAGGGTCTTAAAAAAGTCATTTCAATCATATTACAAGGTAAGTTTGCAAGAAAACATTTAACCATCTCCTCATTTCCAAATTGAGGAAAGGAAGGAAAAGGGAGGGGGACTGGGTTGGAGGTTGGATCTGCCAACATCCGCTTAGCCTGTTCCAGGCCAGATGAGCAAAAGAGTGTTTAAGTGACAAATGGCAGTTCCCAAATTTGACATCCAGTGTGTAAGATTTTCTTAAATTTCTCCCACTTTACTACAATCTGTAACTAGTATTTTCATTCTTCTGTACTATATTCCAATCTTGCTTCCTATTTATATGGGTTACTCATCTACACATGTACCATCAGCCCATACCTTGGTTGAATTAACCTGGGATGTCAATAACTTTTTCCATAAGCTGCTGCTGATGGTGCAATAAGCAGCTGTGCCCAAGAAGGGGCTGTAAGGTGATACCCAAACACAAGAGTCTGCTTTCAGGTTAAAAAGATGGTGAAAAAAGTCTCATAGGCAGCAGTAGATTGCAGGTAAGCTGATTCATTGATTCATCAAATTGCGGGAAAATGAGACACAACTTTTGCAACTTTTTTCAAACAAGCTCAATATAATGGATCAATGAAATACTTGACCAGACAAAAAAAAAACTCATTGAGCCACTGAATTTGTGATTTCAAAATAGATGTAATAGAGGTACTCAGTAATTGAACTTTGTGTTGTGTAGTTTTGGTCTGAAATCATATTTGGAACTAAACTTTCCATATGCACTCTCTTGATTTTGAAATCGCATATGATTTCAGACCAAACTGCACTCCATTCAGTTCGATTACAATTAAAAAACACTCATCCTACACTAACCTTGATGGATCTGCACCTTTCCCCAAAAGATATTGTACACATCTCAATCCTCTTTTCTTGGTAGACTTGTTAATTGCTAAATGAAGGGGTGTCCATCCAGATGCACTTTGAAAATTAACATCTACTTTATATCTTTCTATCATTACTTTAAGGCATTCAAGCTGTCCGTTCTGTGCAGCAAGGTGAATAGGAGCAAGACCCTAAAAGAATTTAAGGTAACATTAATATATTTTCACTTTGTTAGAGTTTGCTGGTTTCAAGCACTGGGGGTTCCAGTCATTCATGTAGCCTGCATCAAAATACATCCATATACATGTAAGAAGCCATCAGTTTTGAGGAAGTTTTAGGCTAGTGGTTAAACTAGGAGGTATTAAAGGGGAATGCACTTTTTCCTCTTGTCACAAGCATGAAGAATTCTTGTGAGGAATCAACATTAGATCTCTGGATTTCAAGTAACCAAAGAGACTCTATGGTGAACTACAGTAGGCCATTATGAGGTTTATAATTGTGACACACACTTTTCCCTTGGTTATGAAATAAAACATTGGAAACAGGAAACAACGATAAGGAAACACTGTAAGCTTGAATGTTATCAGGATAGCTCAATTATAGGGATGAAAACAAAATATTTTGCTTTCCAGATTAGTTACTGAGAAGCAACTGGTTTGGAAGCAAAATTTGTCTTCAGGTGGGAAAATTAAATGTTTTGATCCAAGACAACAACATTTTTGCCTGTTTTCGAGCAGCAAAATTTATTTCCACAAAATCTGTTTCTTGCACTGTTAAGCTAAAAAAGACATTGTTCTCTGCAAAGGTGTTTTCACAACAATATTATTTTAGCAGGGCTTTTATGTGACAGAGCTGCCTTCATGTTCACCAGAGAACGCTCAATACTCAATAACTCAGCACAATAAAAGCTGTGAGTATTTGAGACCGGTTGTTGAATGAGCTTCCAGTGGCTTAGGCTTATCGTAATTTGTGGATCCATTTGCGACAAATTTGCTTTGATACTAAAAGAAATACATGTACATCGGTAAATGTTAGAGTTTTCATCGAGGTCTCATGGCGTGAAAGGGGTACAATCGGATTTCTAATCTCCCTGGATGAAAGTATAAAATTCAACTAAGGTTGTTCTGAGTCCCCATCAAAATTTCATTTGGTTTTATTTCAGCTTTCCCAATCAATTTAGGAGTACCACCTGATTAAACCGATGAAGAATGCTACATTTAAAGTAAATCCGATTTCTAATACTCAAAGGAGGGAATACCATCTAAACCGTTAATTTTGAGGACGTGAACGTCAAACAAACAAAATGGCTGCTCCTTGCGGTAAACCCACCTTAATATTTCTAAAGTAATTCACAAGTACAGAAATAATGCGGCTGTGGAACAGAAGTCGGACTTCTATTGAAATGTTCGCAAAAAGTAAATGGAAACACGCTTCGTCCCGTTACACGAGACAGCGAAACAATTCGCACGTCTGTCACGTTTGCTTCGTAATAATTACCGCAACTTTTTGTCGAAGTATTACAGCATTTGACCTGCGCCTCTTTCGCTGCTAACTGTTCACACTCTAATTATCTGGCGTGAATAGAACTAAACAATCGAACATTGGTTTACAAGTTATTTAAAGAGATGGAAGAATTCGAGAATATCACTTACGTGTTCGATGGAAACAGAATATGCTTTACGCGTATCATAGAGGCTTTGTTGAAGCCATGTTACATCACCGATCGCTGAAGCCATAAGCACGTCATCATCTATGTTCTTTTGGATTCTTAAAGATTGTCTACGCCTCCTCCTTATGACTGTATCACTTGGCTTATATTTCATTTCAGTCATGTTGTACCCGCGGTGGACCGCCATTTTGAAGAACGGAAATTTCGTTGCTAAGCGTTGCTAACGTCAACTTTTGGAAATACGGGACTGGACTTGTCTTTCGTGAAACTCGGACAGAGAGACTACTCGTGAACGAGGTAAAGTAATTAATTCAATTCTTTACCATTCTTTATCTTCCAAAGACTTGTCCTTAATTCACGATTCTTATTCGCCTCCTCGTGAACTTTATTGTTGGAAAAATATATTGACAAGAGTTCTTTTCTTGATCATGAGGTACAATTCCTGTGGTGACTTACTAACGGCAACAGAGTTATTAATGTGCTTGCAGTATCAACCAAAATAACATGTATGTAAAAGACAAATGATATTACTATCATCAATAAATTAATCATCATCAAGCATTATACATGATACCAAACAGTCCAAGCTGTTTTACCATTGTTTGGTGAGCAGGAACCACTTTTCATGGCTAATATACTTGTTGTTTATTGTCAATTTGAAAGGCTTACTGAAATTGAATAGATGATCTAATGGCAAGGGGAAAGCAAGATCCATACTGCTGGCACACTGTAGAAGACAGAACTTAATATTCATCTAGGAAGTTGTTAACAACTAGTAATACTATTTACTGAACTATTTCAGCACAGCATAAAGATGTAAAACCAACAATCAAATGAAGCATAAATACTCAGTGATTTATATACTACATATAAATTTTCCTCTTTACTGAGGCTATGCCCCCTCAAAAAAAATAACTTTATGTGAACTCCGGTTGAAGAAACAAACATGAAAGAACCATCATAACGACCAGCTCCCAGTTGGCTTGTTGGCTCAGTTGTTAGAGTGCTGCACCTTTACTGTGGAGGTCATGGCTTCAAATCGTGTACCAGCTTGAATTTTTTTCAGGTCTTATTTTTACCAGTAGCTAGGTAGCATTCATAATTGTGAGGATTGCTTTCACAAATGTTTTTTTGGTCTTTTCATGAGCATGGGACTGGACAAACAGAAAACTGAGTCCCATGAGGAACTTCAGATTCTGTGCTGCAATGCTCTGCGGCTGAGCCACAAAGACTCTATGGTGACCAAGGCCCATTGCGAAGTTCATATAGGACATGCATCCTGCATACTGCTGGAATCAGCAATGTCGATAGCATCATGTTTTGTAAATAATTAATAATAAGAGAGATGGTAATTTTTTAGCTCAGTAAAAAAAAAGAGAAAGAAGTTTTTTTGTCTTTTCACAGGCATGGGACAAAGAAAAAATTCTGAATACTCACAAGGAATCAAGCCTCAGACCTTCGGATTTCACACTCAGTTGCTCTGCATACTAGGCATGATTTATCAAAAAGGTACTTTTTAAACACCAAACCTCAAAAAAAAAATATGCCCTTGCAGGTGAAAGGATCAGAATTAGAGTCTCAGTCTTATTTTATTCACTAAAAAACATCATTCTCTACTTTTCTTAATTTTTTTTCTTATTTTGGCATGGCTCAGGAATAAAAAAATCCCTAGAGAACACTGATAATTCCTCAATGGATTCATAAGACAAAAGAGGACTGGGGAAGTATTTCTGTGACATCCAAAGGGACTCGAAGGCATTTTTTCAGATCCATCAGATACATGTTGACTACAGGTGTCTCTCAGGCAGAGGGATTGTTGTCTGTTGGTCAAGAATTCACACCCTTTATCCTACTACTGGCTAGATTTGACTCTGGTTACCAACTACTGATCAAGTGCAACCTTTAAGCTGTACTCTGTGAATAGCCAATAAGAAAGCCTCTTAACAGAGAGGATTTTGAACCATCCCATATCTGTTTTAAAAGGCTGTTTACATAATTTACTTCCAACAATAAAATAAACAAAAAATTATTGTGCAATTAAAGAAATTAATAGTTATATTATTTTATTTTTATAAGACAAATGTCACCAATGTCTTGAAGAAATCAAATCCAACCTTGTCTTCAAGGTCTCATTCAAATCTGCCCATTTTAGGCAAGAAAAACAGTCCCTTTCTTACTCCAGGATATAAAATAAGAGAGAGAGAGAGAGAGTGACCACACCTTGTAGTAGAAGGTTAGAAACTGATTGTCTTTAACCCTTTAACTCCCATGATCTGATTGTCAATTCTCCCCTATAGCTGCTACATATTTCCATGTAAATAAGTTATGAGAATTTGGTGTTAGATCAGGATAACAATTTCCACCTGATACACTTGAGTATTCTCATTACCTGTTTGCTGAATAGTGCATGGATACTGTGGGGAGAAGTTACTTGTTAATAACTTCTGGGAGTTAAAGGATTAACATGGGATCTTCTAAGAATAAATTTCCACAAGAATTCTTGTACCGCAAATAATTGGAGAGTCTGTTTGTTTCTTGTTTACAAGATGTTAAGCTGCACAAGAACAGACATAGAAAGTATAAAGTAAAATATGATTTCAATAGCACAAGTTACATTGCAAAGGAAAGTGAACTTGATGACAGAAAGTCCTAGGTAAAACAAATACTAGAGTCCTGATTTTTAGCCATGATAGGAGTTCCTCAACTCCATACCCAAGTGGATTTATGAAGGTTGGTTTAACATTAGAGAAAAATGTCAGAGGATCCTCAGAGGTTACCACTCACTAAGGGAAGCTAACGAATGACTTATTGCTGTTTCTGTATCACCACTCACTTCACAGGAGATTTATCACCAGGAGGTACCCAAGACTGCGGCTCAAACGTTTCTCCACCCTCCTTTCCACTAGAAGATTCATTTGGATCAGACTCAGGAATCCACTCCCCAGGTTGAAAAGTCGTCCCAGTGCTTATAGGTTGTGTTCTATTATCCAGACTCTCGTACAAGGGAGCTGAGGCGTGGCCAATTTGAGCTGCTGCCTGTGATGTTTCCTGCTCCAAAGCTTGCCGTTCTTTATCCTTCTCTTCCACTTGCTTTGCTCTTTCTTGGAGCGTTTTAACTCTCCTCTGTTCGGCTATGAGTTCTTCATGTGTCGGGGGACGTTCTCGTTTCCCTCGGATCCACGCCTCCCACTCAATGGGAATTAAACCAGGGGTGTATTCCATTGGATTCATTTTGGTGATCATCTCCCTCTTAGGCTTTTTTCCCTGCCGGATGGTTTCATAATATTCATTTCCATGGAGATCGGTTCCTACAAGTCGTCTTGTTCGTCCGAAGACATTTAGTAACGATCGTACCCACTGCATTATATTGAACGTAATTTAGGTTTAAGTTAAACAGCTTGAAGAGAGAATATGATAAAGTTCCTGTTTTTTTTTTACAACTCTCGCTCTTTAAAACCTCCAGATTTTACATGGAGTTATATCAGTCAGACTACTCTTTCCGCGAGCGCGCGAAAAGTGATGTAAGAAAATTGGACAAGTCTGACCGCCATTTTGAACAATATGAACATCAGAGAGAACCTGGTAACAATCAGATAGCGGACTCTCGTCACGTAATATGCGCAGGGTGTCTTTAGTCGAGAAATGCGTCATTCTAATGGGCTTAAGTTCTGTTTACATGTAGAAGACATTGTCACGAGTTGGCGGGTTGAATATTAATCACTTCATTACGAAATCGACGAAAAACCTAGTACATTCTAATCTAAATATGACTCTGAGATGACCGCTAGAGTATTTGGAAATGGCAAGGTTTTACACTGTGATTAATTTCTCTGTATTGTTGACTTATTTCGCTGGTAAGTAAATGTTTTCATTTCTTTCACGTGACATAATTGGAGCGAGGCATTCAGAGGCTATCAGTTGGTGCTTTTATGCTGTAGCTTTACTGCTTATTTCAGTCATGCTCGAAGTCTAGAGCTTTCTTATCTTACCTAGAAATTGTTCCCACGTACGCCTCAGTTAAATGAAAGCTCACTGTAATCAGTTCAAGTAACTTCCTGCACAAGTGATTTCACAATGTATAAACTCACGGCAACTAATAAATGTTAACTGTTTTACTCTACCACGAATCTGGTTAGGTTACCCTCTTGATTAAGAGGTTAAAAAATATATGTGAACGTAATTGAAATTACTTAAACTTGCTTTGAAACATCATTAAAGCTCTCCAATGTTTTGCTCGTAATTTTTAATATTAATAATAATTAATATGGAGTTTCTGTGTTCCTAACTTCATCCTAACTTAACTACTAGTTTCCTTACAGGCAGAAAACCCTAAGGGTTTGAGGCTTTGTGAAATCAGTCATTTAATATAGTTGTTGATCTCTAACATGTAAAGTAATCTGGAACGGTTGATCCATAAATAGCTTTAGTTATAGTGCCGTCACATTGTGGAATAGCCTTCCTTGCGAGGCTAGGTGTGTGGAATCCCTCAGGTTCTACAAATGAGAAATCAACAAAGCTCTTTAAGGCACAGCATTCATGGAAAGCAGTAATATAGTGTAATTAATAATGTCATTAATATCAATCAATAGTTAATGGTTTTTAATTAATCCTATGTAAACAGCTGATGAATTGCCCATGATTGATTAAAATTTAAATGAAATAAAATAGATAAATAAATAAATAAACCTCAGCGTGATAACTATGAATTCTAGCCTTTGACCCTCAAAATCAGCCCTATTGATATTTAGTATATAAATAGAATTCACTTACCTTCAGTTTTCTCTTTTCTCTAATGATTGAGTAGGTTATTGAAGGTGGCTGATTCTAATCCTTCCTATAGACTCTCTTCCAGACACAACATAAAGTAATAAGGCATGCAGCTCAGGGTTGAGAGCCTTGAGAACTTCAGCAAATTTTGTCCTCTTCCCAACTTTACTTCCCTCCAGTCTTTGGGCATATGTAAGGTTGATTGATGTAAAAGATCCATGCTTAAAATCATTGTATTTACACATCTCTAACCACCGAAAAGCTTGGACTAGTTTTTGGCTTTGTTGGTGATTTTGGCGTTGACTTATGATTTGATGATAAGTCTTAAATTAACTTTTTTGGACATGCAAGGAATCCATATCTAAGCTCTTGTTTCATTCCTAAAAGACAACATTGTTAATGAACCCTACTCCCACCAGCAAGCAATATAAAAGTCAAACAACTGTTCAAACCTAGTTCACTGTCAAGGTATAGTATTGCTCAGACATAAAATAACCAAAAAACACATATAAAACACATTAATTTGTATGATAAATGAAAGTATGTGCATCTAAATTTTGCATGTGCATGCATAAGCCTGACTCATTTGCCTCATTAGTATGTATGAGCTAGGCCTTTTGTTGTTCTATTGCTGGTGGTTAATTGTTTTAAAGAATAGGCTAATAGCTCTACCGGTAATTTAAAAATACTAAATGGCTACCAATTACAAAAAATTAAGAGAATTGTTGATTTCAATTATGATTCAAACCAACCTTCCACAATATGCTGTTGCATACATGTACTAATGCATCTTCATAATCAGAATATATAAGTGATGTATCAATTTACAACAGTATCCTTTTATTGAAGTAGCTGTTTCTCACTTCATAAAAAAAATCATCCATCCAAATGGCTTGGGAATGTGTTAAAAATAAATTTAGTCTTAGTATATGGTATATTAGCATCAACAAAGGTGCCTGTTTGTAAACAGTTGTCACATTCTAAAAAGGAAGGCATACACAAGTGCTCATTTTATAGCGTGTACCATCAATAAACATGCTGTTCTGCATATGACAAAATGGGGACAGGAAAATCATGTTTTATGGTGGATATTTGTAGTCAGTTCCACAATGATAGGGAAGAGCTGATTTTGACAGCCTCCAAATGCATACATGGTGCATTTGTACTTTCCTTTGTATCTGTAGGAGGGTCAGTGAAGAGGAGTGTAATAAACCATCCTAAAAATAGTTGTGAATAACTGCAAGTAGTGAAAGAAAGGATAAATTAGCTGTATATGTATGTCTGTGGTTTTTGTGCAAGTGTGCTTGAATGATTTCATGTTGCTTTTTAATTCTTCAAAGCTTGAGGAACATGTTTATTGTTTAGGGGGTGGAGGAGGGTGTAAAACTGTTTGTAGAAGACAATTTGTGTGTACACTGGAAAGGAAAATGTTAATGGTCCTGCTCCAAAAAAAAAAAACTTTTCAAATTCTGAACCTAACTGTCACTGGAATTTTAATTGAGTGACCCCAGTGTAAATGAAGTCTTAAACAAATCTCTTATTACTTTTTTGTTTTCAATTAAAGCTGACCTGTTATGGAATTTTGGATTTCTGGGAATTCATGCCACTGTTGGCAATGGTACAGAAGGTTCTTGTCAGGCCTGTCCAGTAGGAACAATTGGAAATACTAGTGAGTATTTTACATGACTGTGTTCTTTAATCAGGTTTTTGAATCAACTGAAGATCACATTTTGGGGAATTTTGATGATTAATTATTTCTATATGAACAATAGATACTGAAAATAGGTTTTTTTAGAAAATGAAAATGAACAATCAATCAGAAAGAATAATTTATATTCAGTGGTATTAAACCCAACTTTCCTATTATGCAGTACAGTGCTATTTCCAGTTTGTATTAAGCATTTTGCTGATAATTATAATAAATTATGATAATGAATTTATTTGCTTTCTTTGTATTCTGCACCTTTTGTTTGTAGGAGTTTTGAAATAGTCATCAACATCTGTGAGTGTGGATAGCCAGTTCAAAGTCTGCAAATACATGTACTTTAAGTGTACATTGATTGTGTTGGCCACTAATATACATTTTTTAGGAGATGGTTTGAAGTAATCATGCATTCTCTTGTTAATATGCTGTGGAACATCCACACTGAATGTGTTAGACTTGAGAGCTCTGAATATACCAATTGTCTTCTGTATTTTGGGATAAACACACTTGTCCTATGGCTTTTGGGTATAACAAGAAAATACTAGTGACCTGTGGGATACTCTATGGTATACCTGTTCCACTCACAAGTGTTGCTTATACTTGAAGAGTTTGAATTTTTTTTTTAACTAATCACATCATGGACTTAAAACTTTCAGGTGACCCAGACTGTCACAGTTGTAACATAAGTGGTCAGTGCCAAGATCCTTCGTCAAATTGTGTCCTGTGTCCTGCAGGCCACCACCAAAATTTAACAGGACAAACAGTTTGCTATGAATGCGAGAAAGGCAAATATCAAGACAAAGCTGGAAAAGCAACATGTATTCCTTGCCCTTTGGGATACTTTCAGAACAAGAGAGGACAAACATCTTGCCTCAAGTGTGAGAAAGGCCACTACCAGAACGCAACTGGAGAAACAACTTGCAAGTTATGTCAGAAAGGAAGCTTCTCTAGGTGAGCCATTTATTGCACCTGAGTTTCAATGATTACAGACTGAGATACCTTTTATACTACTTAACAGTAGGTGAAAACACAATCTCAAGGGTTTTTTATGCCTGTATTAGACAGCCAAAACTTCATGCCATTATCCTTTTCCTTTTTCCCACTAGTTTTTGACTGGAAGGCACAAAATCATAGAATCAAGGTGCTGCCCATTGAATGTACTTTCTGGAAGACAAATCTTAGACCATTTTTTTGTCAGAATACCGAAGAATGTAATGGATAAAGTCTGTTGGCTAATGGCTGCCAACTTGAAGAAAAGCATACTATTTATCAAGTTGATCATTTTTCACACTAAATTTGTACATGCATGGTTCACCCTTGCACACTCAGTACACCAGTCATGACCTGAAGTTGATGTAAACCACAGGCCCCAGTTGTTCGATGGTTAGATAAGGTCACTGATAATAAAAAATTAATATCTTTCTGGTGGATAGCAGAGTAGCAGTACCTTTTTAAACACTTTTTGACTTCTTCAGTGACTAAAGATTTTTCCTCATTTCCCTACATTGCAGCTCAGATGGGAGTAACATGTGTATGCAATGTGGCAATGGGAAATACTGCAAGTAGGTGCAATTATTTTATTGTCATGCTATGTTCAACAATTATTCGCTGTAGAGGAGGTGAATCCATATTGTTTTAGTATGTACCACACAGAAACCAAAAAATTAGTTTGGTATATTTCTATCAATATACCAAAAAATGGTTGGAAATTACATTTTGGACACATGATTTTGTCTCTTCGGCTACACGAAGGTGAGTACTTGCTAATCACTTCCAAACCAGCCAATCAGTGAATGTGAAAAGCCCTCAGATACAAAGTTTTATTAATCGCAATGTTTAAAGAATATGATGATGAAGGTGATAATGATTATTGTGATTATTATTGCTTGGTAGTAGTTACTGTTTTGAAGTAGTTTAGGGCAGTAATAGTTACTGTAAGTTACAGTTGCAGCACTATATGTATGGTTACTAGTAATTAATGAGTTAATTTATATAACTGTTACTGACCATACTCTTATACAAAGTTCAATGGATCAGCAATCAAATCTGTGTTCACTCTTCTAACTCAAATGTTTCACTGTTCTTTTTTCTTAAAAAAAAACAAACAAACAAACAAGCACCACGGGCTGTACCAAGTGTTTTGGTTGCCCACCTGGCCAAGAGGCAGATCGTATGGGTGCACAAAATTGTACATATTGTCAAAAAGGTACGCAGTTTAAAAATGTTAATTTTATTTTGGTTTTGTTTTTAATTGTTGTTGAGAGGTGTTGTACTGTAGTTGTTTGCTTGTTTTCATTGAAAATGACATGAATATATGTAAAAGTTTCCCTGTCTTCAGAGCTGCTTGCAGTTTTGATTAGTCAGATACAATAAAATACATACCTACAAACTTGATATTCATTGTAGGACACAGTAAGGCTGTTGTTGTTTCCAAATGTGTTGTTACTCAATGTTTTTACTGACTGATCAGAAAGTACACATAGCATCTGAACTATTTGCCTGAAATTGTGTGTCCTTCTAACATGTCAAATTTTAAAATAATTGTTTTTATCTCTGGTAAATGATATCATTTTCAAAACTGCCATGCAGACACACTTTTCATTTGTGTACTTGATAAAAGATCTTAACATTACAATTAGAACAAGAAAGTAACCATGGCCAGTTAAATGCATTTTCCAAACCTTACACCCATTACAAGAAAAGTCTGCATTTAAAATTTAATTCACAATGTGATCAGTTTCAGTTCTGTGAAGATGGTATTTTGAAAAGATCTCCTCTAAACTTAAGGACTGCATAATTAAAACAAATTGATCCGATTGCTTTCAGTACTAATTTATTTGCTTCTATACTTTATTGAACAACTATTGATGTATTTACCAGTTATGCTTCTCTTTATAATTTAACAATATCTAACTATTTAGTTTTTAATTTTCTTTATATATTGTAAATAATGTTTGTTGATGATTGACCCGCCTCGAATAGCAAATTTGCTATCTGCGGTTCAACTTAATCTAAATTATTTTGTAAGAAAAAGAAAAATAAAGTGTGTGTGTAAAGTGTGTGTATTCATATCCCTTAATGGAAGAACATTGAAATTTATTGCATCACTGTGCTAAGACATTTAATTGATGGATGATCCTAAATCTGAAGATACAACCATAACATTATGAGTCATCCAGCAGTAATTGTTTACCATAATGTTATGAAAAGCTAAATAATTTTTCTTTCAGGTTCATTCAAACCCTCTTCAGGCTCTGAGGTGTGCCATTCTTGTCAAGATGGATGGTATCAATTAAAAACTGGACAGACATCTTGTCTAGAGTGCCCAGAAGGACATTACTGCCCTGTAAGTCAATCATGTTTTTGTCTCGGTGGTTAACTAGAACACAACAATAGCCTCCAGTTGCTCAAAATTTTTACAGTATCACTCTGGACATGAATTTTCTGTTCTTAGAATTGAGCCATTTCCTTAAAGCTTGAAGACTCCGACAAGCATTTTTTACACCAAATTGTGGTTTAAAACTGTCAACCCTTAATTATTCTTTTTATCATGAAAGCTGAGCTTTCAAGAAATGCTTTATGAAAAATATTTGCTGTGATGAAATGTAGCTTTTAAGTTGTCTGTGGTGCAGTTTTTGTTATATCTTCTTCTGTAATTTGCTCTTCCATCTTCAATCACTCTTAATTAAACAAACAATTTCATTACTGTGCATTAGACCACTGGCAGTCCAAGAATACTGGTTTTAAAAGTCACACAAACCAAAATTTCCTCAGTATGAAATCTATCCTTTTGTCCATTAGCATTAAATCACTTTTTAGTTCATTGAAGTTGATATTTCCGGAATATTACACAATTACATGGATAAATTAAGATCAAAATTTTTTTGCATTTTTGTGTGCTGTAAAAATGATAATGAGGATTTAAAAAATGATTATCAAGATTAAAAAAAGGGTTAAATCTGATACTAGTTTTGATTTAAAAAAAAAAAGGTAGTAGTATCTGTGGTTGTATTGATTGGGTATCGAGGTATTAAAAGATTAGCTAAGCAAGAGGTGAGGTGTTGATGCTACCTGTGAATTGAACATACTGTAACGATGATTGAATTTAATGAACAAATTAAATTTTCTTCACTGCCATTTATTGTATGCTTTTATTGCATGTGCTTTAGTGGCCAAACTCAGAACCAGTGCCATGTGAGAAGGAGCAGATTTGTCCTCCAGGCAGTAGTGCACCAAAAGAAGACTGTAAAGGGTTGATGACTTTAAATAATGAAACTGAGGTACAGAAATTGTTTAATGGCAACATGGTTGAATCATCCCTCCAGCTTACTAGCCCACACTGTAGGAGTTTACATCAGTGTCCATGTTATAAAATGACTCAGGGTATTGTTTCTTCCCCCTGGATGGAATGCCTACAGGTAACCTCCCACCCCCACCCTCCCCCTCCCCCCCCCCCCTTTCACCTTAGGCAACATTAGGCATTCCTGGCAGTTTTCTGGCACCCATTGATACTTCTGTCTGGGGGAAGATAGTGTGACAGTGAAGTGGTTTTTCCAAGTAAACAGCACAATCACCCTGCTTCCAGCTTCTTGTAAGTAAGACTGACTTCAATTTTTATGGTAGACTGTTTAAATTACCATTAACAATGGCGTATATGCTGCACTTACAGATAAGCAATGACACAATTTAATCTACCAGAAGATTTAACCTGTGATAGTTCATTACTACATATTTGATTATGTTTAATTAGCCATTAAATGCACTGCCTACATGGTTAAAAAACAATCCTTTCTTTTATTTTTATGTTCTTGTGCGTATTTCATTTACAGGAATGTGAAATGAGCTCAATTGTTTATGCTCTTATCGCTGTTTCACTAGCAGGTACAAAACTTTTACAAAAGTACAGGTCATTCCTGGAACTCAAGGAATTTGCATGACTGTATACTGGTGTCATATTTCTTGCTAGGACCTAATTTCCATTGTCTCTATAAGGTTTCTGTAATCTTGAATGGCTACTAAATATAAGAAGGGTATTTCATGATGACTCGAGAAAGACTCAGTATGAACTTCTACTCTTTGGTTTTTTTTTTGTAAGAACTGGCAGTGAATTTTATTTGTGATCTTAAGAGAGGATTGGAGGGAGCAGTCATACCTCAAGCTTTAATAAACGATTATTTAAGATTTTGAGAACAATCCCCTCCCAGCGAGGGGTGTGACCCATCCCAATAGGATAAGTTGTGTTGACACTCATGCGTCAATGGCTTAACAGAATAGACAGGATGAAAACCTATACTTGCCTTTTTTGTTTATTTTAGTGGTTGTGGCAGCTATTGGTTTTGTGATACTCCGAAAATACAGAAGGTAAGAAAACCTGCCCGGTTTGCAGCAGAGATATTCAGGTCTGTGTAGTATTGTCACGCAAAGCATCGCGTGACTGCTATTGCTTCGAACGTGTTTTTCCAAGCACAGTCTTTGGAGCTGTCTTTACACTTTAGTAAGTAACTTTCTTTTTTATTTTTGCAGAAATAACGAAACAAGACAGCGATTGCTAGAGAGACAACACCCAGTTTACACTGGTTGGTGAATATGGAAATTCACAGCACGACAAGAAAGATCGTTCTGCTCAATGGTTGAATTACTTGCCTACTGTACACTTTGTAGCTTGGGAATGGGTAACGTAGCTAGGGAAGCTCCTCGGAGTATTAATGAATAACCCTCCCTACAGAGCGCCAGTTAATAAAGAAAACCCCGTTAGTTTATCCTAAAGTTTTCCCTTTAGAGGTTTATTAGCACGAGTAACAATTTACATGTAATAAGGTTTATATTTTGGATGTTGATTTAAGTCAGCACTATGGCAACATCATATCTAATGACAGACATTTGAATCGTTGGCCTAAATCCATGTACCTTATTATTTTAATGTTGCCTTAAATTTTTAAAATGCGAATAGCAGCGAAAGACGAGTTTATTTAGTTCCAAGTACATGATCATATACTTGTATGCGCGTGGTGTTAAAACTCCGTGGAGCCTCCTTAACTCGAGTGTCATTAAAATAGGCAGATGACTTATTATGAATAATGCTTTGTATGAATTTAAGTTAAGTGATGACGTTGAGGAGAATTTTATCATTGTAACGATTCTTGCAATGATGTTCTTATTACACACGCATTTCCTCACAGAGAAAAGGAAAAAAAATGAAATGAATTAGCTTTTCGTAAAATATTTTTTGACGTTGTGTAAATTCCACTGACATGTCATCAACACTGCCTTTGACTATAGTTGCCTTCTTGTTTAGTAGCAGAGAAATTTGAATCTCAGCGGTTAGGTCTTTCGGAAATGAACAACCCGGTCAAAACGGAGGTTTATGTGAACGCCCACCGCACTATTTTTGTATTTTGAGAGGAGATAGCTGGACACTCATTATGCGCATGTCCAAGGATGTAGTCAAGTATTTTGAGAAAAGGTAGCTAGACACTCGTTATGCGCATGCCCAAGTCCAGTTTTTCGTAAACAGAAAACATTTTATCGTGCTCTGGTGTGAACAGAAAGATTAGTGGAGTGAAAGTACGTTTTCGATTTCTCCATCCTTGCATGGCCGGTCCATCGTCCGCAGAAAAAACGGTCTTCCTCGTTTTCACTTGAAAACCTCTACGGACAGTCTTTGTCGAGAAAGAAATTTATGTAACAGTTACCGTAGCAGTTTTAAAGTGACCTAGGGACGGACACATGATTTAAAGTATTGTTGACAAATATTTATTTTTGATAGCAACTTTGTGGGTGTATTGTAAGCAATGAAGAGATTCGCGCATTTTGTTGAACAGAATTATTCCCTTCCATCCATATTACTTCCCCCCTCATTTACATCATCGTCTGTAATTGTTTAGTCATCGAATACCACGAACAGATAAGTAAGCATCAGTTTTCTCTCTCATTAAAAATTTTTAGGTCAGATTTTAAGATATCTTTCGATCCATGTCAGTGTCTGAGCAACGACACACCTACCCCTCCCTTAACTTAACATCAGTCAACTGACAACAAGTTAAGGTTAGTGTTGGATTATGGGAAGGGTGGGTGCGCAGTTCCTCACTCACCTCCCGGACATGATCTATATTTTCAGTGTGGGGCGTTTTTCTAAATATGGCAGGTCCGTTTACAATTCGCTCTGTGGGAAGTAAATAGGAGTTTATGTTGTTAAGATGTTTTGTTTTCCAATAAATTTTGCGCCTCTGCGTGATAGAATTTTGTCTTGATCGGTCTGTTTCGTACTGTAACTGTAGAAGTTATGATAGTGAAATTTGCGATGCGCGAATGTAACATGGGCTATTAACTTGATCCTGATACTTAAAGTCATGCATCTTGTTTTGTTCTTTTTTTCATTAGCCTGCAGTACAGACGTCTTGTTAAGGCGAGTTGAAGTTAAAAAGCTTGCAATCTTTTATTCGACCGGCCAGATTTGAGTAAGAGTTAGACTGGACTATGGGTGGAAGGGGTGGGTAAAGACAAAATTTGTATATCCCCACCTCTCTCCTCTCCTTTCTTTGGATCGTCGCTCACCCACTTAGCACAAATTTCTTTCCCTCGCCAGCCTTCCGCTGTTGTAAAATTAAAAATGCTAGCAGTGTCATTTGCAACAAGAATATACTGAACACTCGCTTGCCAAAATTACGCGTAATCTGCAGGCTGTTTATTGAATCCGCAGTTTCACTGACTTGTATAATTCATTAACCTTTTAACCCTTAAGAGTGACTAGCGTCTAATTTCTCCTGACAATATCAGCCCTGAATTACACAATAGGGTCATGAGAATTAAGGAAATGATCACCAACTAAAGAAGCTCTTGATTGTTAAACAAATTCTCCCTGTCAGCACCTTAGGAAATTTATAGAGAACCTAAATCTAAAAATCTAAAACAAGTGCAGACTTTGCTTTTTTTTTTTTTTTTTGAAAGTGAAGGAAAATAAAATTTCTCTGGCAAATCCTAAAGAGCGATTTTTAAGAAGTTTACCTTTTTTTATACGTGACGCGCGAACTTCTCCGAATTCCTGCGTGAAACGGGATCAGGATTCAAACCCCCCCCCCTCCCTCCTCCTTTTTGCTTTCAATTTTTAACAAGCTGCTTTTAAGTTTCGAACGCATGATCAGGAAAGAACTCTTTCATTTTAGCACGTTTAACACCTCTTTCTTGCTAGGTGAGTGTATGTGTAAACTGATGTGTTAGCTTGCATGAGGTTATTACGAGGGTGTGAATGGGGTTAACCGACTAGCGACAAAGGGCGTAAAAAATTACTGACTACCGACGAAACGGGGAAAAAATTACCGACTAGCGACAAATAAATTCTAACCGACAACCGACATGGTCAGACGTGATAGGGATGTTTGTATTCAGAAAGAACAGCATTTTGATGATTTCTAGCTCAGAAAATCCTTCTTCACCCGACGTAACCACATTAATTCCAAATTTAGCCGAATTATAGAATTTCTTGTCTTCAAATTACTTTAAATCCACGGGATCCTTCTTTTCGGTGATCAGCGTGGGCTCATTTCTAGAACAGCGGCTCGTAATTGGGCTGACAAGACGCCCTGCTGTCTCATTTCAAGAACAGCGGATCACAATCGAGCCGACGAGACGCCCTGCTGTTGTCTTTTTACTGCTCGTTGTTTGTTCATGCGGTTGGGTCATGACTGGGATTGCTTAAGTCATCGTGAGTTTTTTTCGAAAAGGTGAAGAAGTCGCCATCGAACGTCATCGAAGCAGGGTCCCAGTAGACAAAGAAGCTCATAGAGGAGTATCTGAACTAAAAAAACATCTTACGGAGTTTTTAGGACTAAAGGAGCAGGCACATCAATAAGGAATTGGCGGATTTTCGTTAAAGTTATTTCGCCTGGCAAAATCGCCTGCGGGCAAATGCGAAAATTTTGCAATTGTGACGGATGGGCAATGGCATCTTGAACTTCCAAATTTAATATCGGATGAAAGTAGCAGTGAGCTCAACGGTAAGTGTGGAACACGTGCAGCGGAGTTTGATGAATCACTTTAGTTCTGTAGTTAAATATTAAGCTCAAATATTAACGTGGTTAAACTCTGGTTCCACCGTTTTTTGTTTGTTGTTTTGTGGAGCGGAATGTTTTTTTCTTTCTTTTTCACCGTCCATTTGAATGCGAAAATTTAGAAGAAAAATCTCTACAAAGAAGTAGCGAGTAAATCAGTTTATAAGCTTCTTTCTGATTAATTGGTGAATGAACAACAGTGTAGCTTAACATATTAAAGACCCCGTTTATTTATACACGCCCTTAAATTTATTCGTTTCTGAAAACCAGACGTTCAAATAATATTCAATTCTCTCCTCGAGGGAAGCTACGCACGAGAGATTTCGCTCGATTTGCACGTTTTAAACATCTTGACGAGCATTTGCTGATAAGAACTGTGTAAGTTTCTCAAAAGCCTACTAAAGAGAAAACTTAAAACACACGGTATTTAATATTTTAGTACACATTATCCAAGAGGTCACAAACTGGACCGGAAAGCCAGTAGTGTTGCTGAAGGCGCCGGCTACATCTGATAAAAGCAAGCAGAAGTCAATGAACGACACTGAGAAGAAAGGTGACGAGTAAAAAGTGAGAAGGAAACGGAAATCACGAGAAGAAGCAAAAGAAGATGAAAATCTGGCAAAGAGGATCATAGCACTTGTAGATCGTTTACCTGATTTTCAAAAGTCATAAATTTCGCTACTTTGGAAATTCTTCGGTATTCCTTGTTTATAAACACTGCCTTGTTTATACAACGAAAAACGCTCACTTGGTGCGTTCGCTATGTAAATATAGTTTCTTTTAAATTCCGGCTAAAAACTGTATTATTATCACTTTGATGGGCATTGTGGCGCATTTTGCGTGCTAAAATAAAGAATTTGCCGGGCTAAAATGTATTTTTAAAAATAAACCAAGACAACCAATGTTCGCGCCGTCTTCTTGTAGCGTTGGTAAAAGAAACCGTGTATTTTTAATTATTAACTGAGATTTACCGACAACCGACAAAGGTAAAAAATCTTAACCGACAACCGACAAAGTAATGAAATTTTAACCGACAACCGACATTTTGACCCCCCCATTCAGACCCTTTATTACTGGAGAGCGTAACTTGTAGGTGTTGTTCACTGCATTCGTTCTCTGCACTTAATATGTAATCAAAAAGCGTATAATTGTTCGAAGAGTAGGTAGCTCGTTAAGAGGTGATACCAAGAGAAACGGTCGTTCCCAGTCGGGTCTTAGTATATTTTACACATTGTGTTGTGGGGCATGGGAACTAGGGAGAGCGACGCTGGTCAGCAGTAAAAGGGTTCGCCGCTTTTTGATCAGAGAGCATTTGTTAAAGCAAACGAATCCAATTCAGTTTTGTACAAAGTGATATAACAAGCCGGTGAGTCCAAAGAAAAACGAAAACCAGGCCAGAGAAGTGTTAAACGTTATTCTACCAACTTTGAACCCACAGCTTCGTTCCTTAGCGTAAGAGATAAACAGAGCAATGTTGTTACGTAGGCGAAACGGATGTCCTGTTTCCCAAACTGTGGTACGGTTAATTTCCTCGTATATTCCTTTAAAAACAGAAAAAAAGTCTATTAATTTTGCGTTTCAAGACATTTTCTACCACTAAGTGACTGGTCAGTATTGGTTGGGGGGGGGGCAGAGGACTTTTTCTCATTCTACCAAGCGGTCCGTTTATAGTCTCTCGCTTTTGCCTGATCCCCCATAAGAAATTGTAATAATAACCCCCCCACCTCATCGACAGTTCATTAGCGGTCAATGTTCTATAATATCCCCTTTACGACTGATCCTCTATCAGTTTCCCCTGAAAACCCCAACCTCGGCTGGTCTGGTAGATATAATTATCCTAAGTATTTCAGAGCAAATTTTCTTTTACTTGGGATTTATTTTGCTTTCTTCAAATAGTTGATAATACAAATTTTTCTCTTTTTTTTGGGGGGGGGGGGGGAGATGAAGTGCCTTTGATCAGTGGTTATATTTGATTTTGGTATAGTTTTACGACACTCGCTCAAAGCACTGGGTTCGAGATTACTCACCAGCACAGCTGCCTGTAATGCTGGCTGCAAAATAACAAGGGAACACGAATAAGTAGAAGCAACAAAACAGCAGCATGCCAACGAAAATGTATTCCGACGCTGTCGTATCATATTTAATTTCCTCTGAAATATATATGACGGCTACAACCACACCAGCTCCATAAGTCAACCAGTGCACCACAAACCACACACTGTAGGCTGACACTGTATTGAAAACAACTTTGCAGAGGTCCTCATGGATTTCGATGATGTCATCTATAGATTCGTCTTCAACACCCCTTACATTTCGAATTAGTCTGGTGACATCTTGAGAAAAAGTTCCTGGAAGATAGACCAGAAAATTCGATCTATCACTCCATTGAAAGTTATTTTTACCATGATGCTAGTCGTGCGATTTCATCGATATTTTTACAAGTAGCTTTGTGGCCGATTTATTTACACGTTGTAGGGACATCTGATTCAGGAAAAGATCGCGACAAAGAAGGATCAAGTAACAACCGAGTGGCTTTCGAATGTTTCCTTCACAAATTTGTTCAAGACGTTATACATGAGCATCATTCTAGAAAAGTTGTGACTAATTGAGAGGGATTGTTATAGCTGCCCATACTAAAACGGTGGCAAAATAAACTCAGAAAATCTGATCCACCTCCGAACAACACGCGCGACATTTGCGCCCGAAAATGTTGTAATCATTGCAGATGATAACTGAGTTCAAATCATCTTTTTGTGCTATATTATGTCACTGTTTATTATATGCTAAAACAACAATTCACATTCCACTTCGGTGAATAGTTGCTTACTTATTATCTGCAATTTTTGAAAGATTTTGATAAAATTAAACTTAGATGTTTATGTTATGTATTACGAAAAACAACATACCTATAGCCAAAGAACTGACGGCGAAGACTTGGCAAGAGTTGATTGATGCCAAGTGGACCAAAAGCTGTGCACCTGTACCAGTCATCACGGCAATGGTGTAATGAGGATCTCGGATCTCACTTGTCTTCGGTAATGTGTACAGCGACGCACCCAAGCCTAGAAACGACACAAAAATTAAAACATACGCTAAAAATAACAACCACGCGTCGCTTTTGTTGATGTCTCTCATCAAGGTCTCTGAAGGACATACCAGCGCTGAATCTAAACGACTGGCAGTGAAGAAAGAACCGATGAAGAGTATGTATGAAATGACAGCGGCAAAAGAGACTATTGTGAAAACAGCATTCCCTGTAGCTACGACACCGTGAAGGGTTTTGTCGCTTGTTAAATTCGGTTTGAAATGACAGTTGAAGTTTGGACAGTCAAAATCAATGTACATTCGGTAAACGACTTGGTAGAAGCTGATCACCAAGAATAATATGCGAGGAAGCCAGTTCCAGCACTGATTTCCCCATAACCCAAGAAAACTAAGGGAACATCTGAGGACAATGAGAAGGAATCGAGGACATCCAGCGATGGCTTGCTGCCCTCTGTCTTCTCGGAAGCCAAGGTAAATCGGTACAATTTCATCGTTCCTTTCCTGTTGATGCGGTCGTTCAGCTTCTTGTTCTGGCACTTGTTCTGCCATTCTGTAGGATTAAAAAGTCAATGCCGTCAATTTCTGTGCAAAGACTTTGTAAAATATTTGTTTTCCAGCAACATTAACGCAGATTCACCAAACCGGAAGTATAAATAATACAGCTTTCTAAGAAACTTCATTGCGTAAAATCTACATTTAAACTGTCTGCGATCCATTACAGGCGCGAAATCTTCGTTAGACTTAATATAGGCAACTCTTTAGTATAATATAAGAGATAAAAAATTCACTGTACATATACCTCTTTTCAGAATGTTTACTCACCTTCCCGACGCAAAATAACAAAAAGTATCACTTTTCGTTTCACCAAACCGGAAGTATAAGTGAGCACGAAATACTCTGGGGGTAGGGTGGGATAAATATCGCTCAAGCGCTTCGTTGAAAGGGATTTTTGCTTGAATAGGATGTCGACTAAGACCGAGAGTTCGAAGTCTCCGGTTCTATCATAAAAACATTTTTTAGACCGCTAGCGAGGAAAAAATTTCTAGTCTTTCTATTTAATTGGAAATAGTACTCTCATTGACATGCATGCATGGGAAAATGATATTTAGCAGACTCAGGCAACATTAAAGCAAAATATTAATGATCTGAACAAGTAACCAGTACTTCTACGTTAGACCGTGGATGAGTCGTGGCAGGTGCCGATGGATTTTGAAAAAAATATGGGAAACTCTTGAACCAAACAGAACAACAACCTAACTTTATTGTCTTATCGAATTTAAACAGTCATAATTGTTGAAAGCCAGTTAAGGCCTTGCGAGCCTTATAACATCATGGCAAAACTGACCTATAACCTAAACCATAACATAACAACACATTCAACTGAAATTTCTTCACTTTACCGTAATCATGAACTCTGCTGAGGTTGTCGAAACATCACTCACTACAACTAAAATTAGCCGTTTTCAATACTGACTTCACCTGAAGGATCACACTTCTCGACCGATAGGTACAACAGTGAAAATCACTTTCCGAAAGACCTTAAAAGCATAAGCATAAGCATACATATATTACAAACACTTGCTAAAAAAAAACATAGATAGGCGTATTTTATGCATTTTTTTCTCCACCTCAGCCATAAACTAATCGTGGCCCACTTAATCAATTGCTTTTTCTTTTTTGTATGTAGGTTGGTTGGATGGTTAGATTAAATTAACTTATTTCTTCATTTCATTTATTTATTTGCGATATTTAAATGGGTTAGTCCAATTCAGCTTTAAAGCTGGTTTAAATGGCTGAAGGCCTGTATAAACAATAACAAGGCCGGACCACAACACCAGGTAGTGCGTGGGTTCTTTTAAGTTCCCGGCTAACTATGGCACGGAGTAAGATGAGGGAGCCGGGTGGATCAGAGGGGAAATCAGAGGGGGGATCGGAGGGGGGGATCAGAGGGGAAATCAGAGGGGGATCAGAGGGGAAAATAGTAGTCGCCAAAAGAGTATGAAAGGGGGACTATAGAAGATATAGAGCAAATTAACTGCCAAGAAGGTGAAAGGGGGGGGGAAATCACAAGAATATTATAGAGCCTTAGTGGCATCAGGTAAATTTTATCACAACACATGTATATCCAAAGCAACCAAAGTCCTTCAATTCCCCCACCCCCCTCCTGCGCTACATAATGACCGATCTCTTAGGTAATCCTAGTCGTGTAGATTTTTGATCGGCTGTTTGTTTGTTTGTTTGTTTGTTTGTTTTTTTCAGGCTGCTTGAAAGAAGTGATACAATAGCCCCAAGAGTCCAAAGAAAAAGGAGAACCAGGTCAGGGAAGAGTTAAATCTAATTCTACCAATTTTGAAACCGCAGCCTCTGTCTTTAGCGTAAGCCAAAAACAGAAATATGTTGCGACGATCTTTGAACGGGTGTCCTTCATTCCAGTCATCAGATGTGGTGCAGTTAATTCTATCGTGTATTCCTTTGAAAACAAGAAAAAAAGAGTCTATAAGTTCTGTGATCAAAATCCACCTGCCAAGGAGACAAAAAATGTTTAACTCGAGGTGGCAATCACGGAATGACAGCTTTTTCAGCACGCTCCATCGCTGAGAACTCATCCATTAATCCCAAACAGTGCAGAAAGTTGAAAGCGTAACAAAACAAAATGGCGCACAGGTGTGGAGAAAGTAACAACGTTTTAAGTCAGAGTTTGAGAGAGAGGGAATGCTAAAAGAAAAACACCCAAGAAAGGAAAAACAACTGGGTAAAAGTCTGGCTTACAATAACTGATATGAAAATATTAAGCGACAGGCAATTAAATCGCTCACGTGTCTCTACTCATGTGAACAGTGACTGCTTACGACTCTATTGAACTTTCTCCAGTTCCTACCTGCGCATTCGCTTGTGATCCTAGCAGCGTAAATACACGGGAGTATGAAAACGTAGAAGAAACAAACGAAGAGTAGGCAGATGTAGACTTTGACCGCAGTGGACACACTATTTTTGTCTCCCGAGAGTTCCTCAGATGTTAACATAAAGTAAACAAGAATGCCAGCTCCGAATGTTAACCAATGCAACACAAACCATACTTTGTAGGCTGACACTGTGTTTAGGACAATTGTACACAAGTCCTCATGAATTCTAATGATGTCATCGAGAGTTCCATTCTCGACCTTCCGGATGAGTCTGAAAGTGTCTTTTGCTATTGTGCCTGAGGTAAAAAGAGAAAAAAAAGGTTTAGTAGATGTTGGTTTACGTTATTCTTTATGTCTGCAAGGAACAGTTTTTTAAGGAAGTTTAAGAAATATTAAGGTCTTTAAACGAACCAGAATCGCTAAAACTGTGTTCGATGTCTTTGCTATCTTGATGGCTCTATCTTATTTCTAGGGGTGAAAAACGCGTAAGGAAGTAATTCGATAAGTTTTGGCAAAACGCGAAGTCTTCAATCAAGGAAATATGCATCATCATTCTTACCTAGAGAGGAAGAACTGACGGCAAAGGCGTGACAGGTGTTTACTGAAGCCCAGTGAGCCAATATTACTGACACAGCGGTGTATCCAATGAACAATTTGCTTAGATAAGTATTGTTATTGTTATATAACTTCAAATAAAGAAAAAGTGTCAGCCCGATAAAAAGCGAGGAAAGAAATCCAACGAATCCAAAAAACAGCCACAGTATCGCCGTTTTGTCACAATCTTCGATCATTGATCGTGAAGGTGACACCAAAGCAGACTCTGTACCCCTGAATGTCGTCACACTTGTTATGAAAACGACATATGAAAGGAGCGCTGCAAAAGAAAACAGTGAATAGCACGCCTTTCGAGTTCCTGGAAAGACCGTCAGTACTGTGAGGTTGGAATGCTTTTCATTGAAGTTGCAGTCGAAGTAGGGACAGTTCAGGTCAGAAGAGATTTGCAAGGATACTTGAACAGCACAAATTACAACAAATAGAAGACGAGGGATGTAGTTCCACGACCGATGGCTCCACAAACCAAGCGAACAGAAGATAGCTTTGAAAATCATCAGAATGATTCGAGTGGATGTACTAACCAGCTGTGGCTCTCTTCCCCACCGAAAATACAGATACGTTCGCCCTCGTCGAACAGCCGGCCTCATTGTTTCAATGTTTTGATCATCAGGAACCCTTAGCACGAGATGCTCTTGCTCCGCCATTATTGATCGCAAGCTATTGATTACATCGACTACTAGCACAGACTGCGTGAATTATATCCGAAAGTTATCCTGATCGTGACTTTCAGGCTAGATTTTGTCACCTGATAATTGTATTAAGCTGGTGCCACCGATCTATGATGTGATTTCAGTTTCCATAACCTCTGATCCTCTTTCGAGGTAACGCAAATTTTCTCGCAGAATTAATGGTCACGCTTTTGAAGTAACGCTGGCATTGCCGAACCTGAAAGATCTTTTTCGCACATTGCAGGATAAGAAACTTCAGTGACTCTTGAACCTAAATAATTAAATAGGTCTGAAAGAAAGCTAGTATCACGTGGTAAAAGGTTCAACTGAATTTCTCGTTGAGGATTTTCGGACAGTTGTTTTTCTTTTTGTATCAAATAACAGCATTGCGTTACTTGAGTGCATTTTGAATCTAATTATCACATCTCTTGAAGTTTCTCGGAAAAACCTTTCTTCCGGTGCGTTAGAGTATAGCTAGAAACCGAAAGGAAAGGAAGTAAACAAGATTTATTTTGATCAATTAAAGTTCTTTCAAAATATTTTTTTAACTTCTTATGAAAAAAAATAATTTTTCTTGTTGTTTTAAAATGGTCAACAACCCGATCGATGCCGAAAGAGAACCACAAGATCAGGAAGGAAAACGTCTGCCTCTTCTTCCATGAATGAACATATTTGGGCTTCCGGTCACATAGACATCCGCAAGATGTCAATGGATGCTATCGATTTCTGTTGAAAATTGTCAAAATCACCTTCTGTACACTTGGATTATGGACTCACCAGGTTTTGAACTACATTCTACGAGTACTAGTCTATCTAATCTGTATTTATCAAGCTGTTTACGATTTCTATGTCGTGTTAAGTTGCCACGGTTTTGGTTGCAGTTCCTCACAAAATTCAACGGATTTAAGAAGCCCCTTCATCACAAGGATGATAATCGTATTGCAAATGTTGTTTATTTTTATAGTTTCATCCGCAGTTTCATCGTAACATAGGACAAAAACTCAGTTATGGTCGCACCGTCTTGATCCGCATCGATGGAAGACCTTAACACAACGGCCGGCTGATGGTTGTGTCTTATTTTCGCTTTAATGACAATGTTGTATCTTAGCTCGATGGCTGTGTTTCACACCATCGTATGGATAAGTAAGCCAAAGGTTTCCTATTTCACCACTCTTGCCACCGGAGTAGAAGCCCAGTTTTTCGCGCAGTGCACAGCAATAACAACTTGTCACGAGTTCGTCATGAGTTCCTTTGCGTTAGGTAAGTTTCATACTTCAAATGCTGATAACAAAATGATCATTCTGTTTTCATTCATCCTTTGTTCTCAGCGTTCAAAACCCTTTTTTGATGATTAAGGTGATTAACCTTTCCTGTTGTCTTCCATCCTTTCTCTGCGAATTATCTTTGTTAGCAAAGTCATTATGGCCGTAGTTATGACAATCACAAGTTTTATAAGCATTGACAATACCGTGACAATCAGAAGCACTGATGTAACGAAAGGGCAATATAACAGGATTTATAACAATTTTTTGACATTTTCAATGCACTAGAGTTTTGCTAAAATGTATGATCGATAGCAAGATCGGTGTGATCTTGTTTGAGTGGTGCACTTCTTCAAGCCATTGGATCATCTTTAAGTATCTACAAGGCATACATTTCACAGACATTCTTAGAATAATCTGGAATCTGAAGACAACTTATTTGGGACAGGCAATCTCTAAACAAATTTGGCAAATCCTAAAATTGGCAACGTCTTGTTTAAATACCTGACGAACAATGCAAAAAAAAAAACGTGTAATCAATCTCATTATTTCTCTATTTAACCTTCATCTTTTTCTGTCAGTAAGGATGTCTGTTTTTTTCTGTTTTGTTTCATTCTACCTTTTTCATTGTAAAAATTATATTATATTATTATAATTATCATTATTATTATTACGGATTTTCTGGTATGAACGTATTTTTGTTACATTTTTCACTTTAGATACTTTACATAAGTATTATCTTAGACTGAGTTGCACTCAGTCTTGTAGCATAGAAAGTGTTTTCATGAGCACTGAAGAAAACTTTCTTCACTGCACTATGAGGGCAAGGAAGAAACTGCTTTAACTTTTAAAATGTGTAAATCATTCTTTCAAAGACCATAAAATGGAATGGGTATGTAAATTAATTCAAATGGTTCATCATTTCCGACTATTTTTGTGCAAAATTATCCCTGAAGTTTCCTGGACTTCAATATTTTCTTTCCTAGAGTGATCCTGATTTTTTTTAGTCTATAATCATTTATTTATGATCCTTAGAACATCTCTATTATGTGTCCTGCTTACAAAGGCTTCATGGTCAAGTTTTGGACACAGCTCTTATGGAAACGGGTGATGAGTCAGAGACAGACATTCCATTTGACAACATTATTGTCTTGTAAGTTCTCTTCAATTACAATCCCTCCTCTTTGATTCTGACTAGCAGATTTTACCACAGTTTTCAGATATTTATCCTCAACCTGTCTTCAAAATTAGGCTGTCTGACTACTTGCCAGAGTTTGAACAAATGAATTGTTTGTCACAGTTAATAGATTAAGACTCAGCATACTGAGTGGGCCATGACTCACATGTACATTGCACTCAACTTGTCAACTTTTACCTCTTCACTTACTCAAACCAAAGTCTCACAATTTAGGAAGACAAGAATCTTTGTATTCTCATGGAGGAATATTTTCATTACATGCATTCACTTGATGCATTGCAATATCTCTATTTTACTTCTTAAAGTTGAATGTTGTACAGTAAAATTTGATCACCCTCCACTTTATTTAGTGTTTAATTCACCTTTTTTAAGTGGTGGTCTACCTGTTCCTTGAGTTATGTGTAATGATGGTATCAGATTCAAACCAGAGTCTGATTTATAAATTTTTTATCTAATCTTAGTGAAAATGTGAGCTATGACCTCAAGCTGGGTATAGAAATAAGCAAACAGAGCTTCAGGAGTGAAAAGGCCACTACGAGGAACTCAAGCGGGCCACGAAGTTCTCAAATTTATACTTGCGGAACATACACAATTGACAGTGGATCACCTTCATCAGAGGATCAAATCACATGACCTCAAAACAGGTACAGTGTATATTTAGTATGGTTAGCAATATTGTCGGGCTATCATTTTGTTTTGTAAGAAACTTTGGCAGTAGTAGTGGCTTTGCAACGCATCTCTGGCCTGGACGGCACCTCCGTAAATCAATGAAAATTGGGCTGTGGGTAATTCCCAAAAAGAGTTTCCAAATCGTGTCATCCTTTTGTTCGGTGAATTTCCTGGATTCTCTCTGAGTATGTGTATTGCAGGTAATATAGCTGTGATGGGCGATTCGGTGATTTGGTTCATGCTGTAATGTTACGCGAGTAGAGTTACGCGTGGCAGTTTTGGCCTTTTACTTTCTCAAAAAAATATCAGCTCTTGTTTCAATGATTAATGCCAGACTGAAGTTCTATTTCGCTTTAAGGTTTGGTTGGAGCGAGCCCTTTAGTATCCACTGTATCTACTGAGGATTCAAACATGCCAAGACTGGCTTTATGGGGCCAGATTAGTCGCCGTCTAGCTGCCAGACCTGCTTGTGTTGAACAAATCCATACGGATGGTTTTCTTGAACTACAGGTACGGTCGAGTAGTTAGAGCCTGGTACTTTAGTACTCAGTCAAATATAAAGCTGCTGCTGCTGCTGTAATTAGGGTTTTCAAAGAACCAAAGAAATTATTCCAATCTACACGTATATCTTCATGAATGAAAGTAATTCTTCTCGATGATCGGTGCAAATACGTTGAAAGTGTAAAAGCCTCACCATAAGTTTAGTTGAAAAACCCCTGCTAGTACATTTAAAGAAGTTTTGCTCATGGCAGGTTCTGTCTTGATAAACACAACATTTTATGTTGACTATTTTCAGAGAATGACTTGCAGTCAGTTTTCATGGTGTCGGCTCTGGTGTGTTTTGAGACATGCGACAATCAAGTGCTGTCATCAACTGTTGGTATGTTTTCACTCAGTAGAATATTCCCTTTTGTAGTGTCGCAAAGTCTTTAATTGTAACGGAACAGACTCCAATATACAAGAAGAGTTTTTACACCGAAATTAGTCAGATCCAACGTATCCAAAACGTTCTTAGGCTTAGCAGCCAAGCCTGCAATATGCGTGGATACCCGGATATAACATCCCATCCTAACCTATTTAAAGTTCAAAGTCCATTCTAACAACGCAACTTAACATAGAAGAACTAAAACAATGTTCTAGTCATAAACAAAGTCCGGATCTCTCTTTGGCTTTGGTGTTCGAGTTGAACGTCTCAATTCCATTGCTGAGTAGGGAGGACCACTATCTGCGGGATTCCTATCATCCGAGACTGTAGATCCGAGTTGATCCAAAGGAGGCATCGCTGCCCCAGCGAACTCTTCCGACTCCAAGCAGCCGTTGTCATTGTCATCATTAACTGGTAGCTCCATGCGTGGAACTCTACTAAGAAACTTCACATTACGAGTGAGATGTTGTCCAGTCTCAGCATTGACAAGTTCAAAAGTATCTGGTCCTTTGCTACGAACAATGACATACTTCTGATGACCAAACGTGGGAATCAATTTTCCAGATTTTGTATTTGCTACAAATACAATATCCCCAGGTACTAGGTTATGTTGTTGTGCATGTCGCTTGGCATCAGTATACTCACATAACTTCCTCTGGTATTCCTTGTACCTCTCTTCAGGGTTGTTCTGATCCATTTCTGGTACTGTTGGCAACTTTGTTGTTATCTCTCTGTTGAGAAACAGTTTAGCCGGGGTCATGTTAGTCCCGGCATGTGGAGTGGATCTGTAAACTTGCAGGATTGTGGGCAGAACCTCTGTCCAGGATAGACCATCTAACTCTGCTGCTCTGATACTGTGCTTTAGGTACCTATGAAATCTTTCGACCTGCCCATTTGCTTGTGGAAAATAGGGTGATACTCTTCTGTGCTGTATTCCATTTGCCTTCATGAAGTCTTGGAATTCCTCAGCTACGAACTGACGTCCATTGTCCGTGATCAGAACTTTTGGATTTCCAAATCGTGCAAATATATCTGCAAGTGCAGTGACTATACTCTCACTTGTAATACGCTTAAGAACAATAGCCTCGGGCCACTTGCTTCTGTAATCA